TTCACCTCCTGCCCTCATATGTTGTTTTTCTTTCAGATTTATTTGGTTTCCTTGACCTTTCTCGTGCTTGTCACATTAAAAGGTGAGTGCTGGAATTTAATCGGCCCACTGAGAACTTACATGTGAATGGGATTTAAAGCAAGCATATGTAATTGTATTTTTGCTGAACTGCCACTTTGTCCAGGACAGGATAATGGAATGCTAAAATGTAAATGCTAAAATGTAGTTTTATGTATTACAGGTAGTGAAGAGTCTTAAAGTCAGCAAACTTACTCACTGATGTCAGTTACACAGCAATATCCATCTGAAGTTTGCTAACATTAGCCACCAAAAGCTACTGATCATCCCAGACCAAGTGAGACTGTGGCAGCAAAACTCCAGAGTATTGAAATAAGCAAGGGTGTGTGTTCAACATATAATATGTAAGAGGAACAATGTGTTATTTCTTCTTTCAAAAGTATTGTGTTCTTTAAGCTGCAGTTTAGGAATTAGCAACTTAAAGATGGGGTATGCAATTCTGGAGAAAACCAATAACCCGAAAAATACCATGATACAGAGCGAAGAACAACACAGCAAGTAATGTAACTAACGTTAACTAAGTTGTGGTTTAGCAAACTGTTGCCACACTAGCTGCTGCAAAGCTAACATACAGAGAGATGGTCCCAGAGCCAGCACAGACAGTAATACAACTCTTCTGCTACTATAGCTAACATCACAACAGCAGCATATCTTGGCAATCTAGAAAGTAAGATGAATATCCGTGGGCAAGTAATATAATGTTAACTGACAGACAAATCATGTCTGGAGTAGTGTTGTGTGGCTTGGTCCGAGCCACTTTGTTTGTTTCCCATTTACAGTGTACAAATACCAGATTTTATTTCAGCGCACACAGAATGGACAGCTAGTGAGGAGATATTCACTGAACTTGACCCAAAAAAGTGCATTCAATTAGAATTGCGGAGGTACACCAGCTTTTGTATGCCACCTCCATTAAACTGGGCAACAGATTAAAAAAGAATCATCAAAATTGATTCAGCAAAGGTCAGGATATTTGCTTTTTGATCTACAAGAAGACCTGCTGAAACCCATACCTGCCAGGTAAATTCCCATGTGCATGACATCATCAGGGTTAGAAGGCTCCAGAAGACATCATACCAACAGTTTCACAGGCTCATTATGAGAAAACTGATCCTCGCAGGTGGAGTTCCCCTTTAAATGCTGAAGAATTTACATAAAGGCTTGTCAGAAATATTTAAAAGTAAGATAACATAATATTTATGAGTATGATTAAGTAACATCTTCTGAGAATACTGAGCATACATTATGATGTGTGTCCTTTGGTCATCTCTCACTTAGCAGCCATATATTTCAGTGAAGAATGAAAGTCCAACTTTATCTTATTGCAGATAAGGGATAAATTCACATTAAACATATTAAAACTCAAGCGATGAACACGTTACTATAATACAAAAGGTTTACTGCGAACAAAATTAAGGTTTACATCCACACACAATATATCTGACACACCACAAATTAGCGTCATTTATAAATCATTACACCGTTAGTCATGTCCCATCATATGGGTTCATTAAAGTAGTCGGAATCACAGCATTAGCCCAAGAAAGTAGAGGTTTTGTAGAGCTGCGGCACTGATTGGAAGGTGCTGAGTGAGTAAACAGACAACGGCCTCACTGTCCTGCAGGCTCACACAACAATCCAGCTTTGTTGTAGCCAGAGGTTTTATAAGAGCTACTTCTTTGTAACTGCCCTGCACTGTCCCACTCACAGGACTGTTACTATGACATACTCTGAATGCATCTGCAGGCCTCTCTCCGCTAAATGGCCAGGCACATTCTCAAGTCTGGCCTCTGCCAGGAATACATCACAGCATTGTTTGAGAGAGTCACAGGGATAAACATGCCGTTCTTTGTTCTTTCTGTAAAGTGTCCTGTATCGAGGCCTTGCAATGAGGGTTCTTTGACTTGTGTTTTTGATGATTAAAATGTGGCTTTCCCCTTTTCCTCTGCAGTGTCAACGGCTCAGGTACCCACCACCACAGATCAAATGGACTCAACAGCAACACCCACTGGTACTAACTATCTATCTATCTATCTATCTATCTATCTATCTATCTATCTATCTATCTATCTATCTATCTATCTATCTATCTATCTATCTATCCAGTTTTATCTAATTGTGTTGCTTCCTTGGTGTAACAGAAAGAGTGAGAGGCACCAGAGTTGCTGACTCCTCCCCGAAAACTTCCCCTGCTAAGCAAACCACAAGCCAGCACATAAACACCACCAACCCAGTCAATGGCAACACCACATCAGAAATTAAGACTTCAACAGGTATTCTTGTGTGTGTAGTTACAGCTGTACATAATTAAAATGTTTACATAACTTAAAGTTTACCTGATGCAAATTTTTATGTTTCCATCCCTCTAGCTCCCAGTGACGTAGACACAACAAAACCACAAACAAAGCTCACATCCTTTCCAGGTAATAGTCTTCACCATCTCCCTCACGTTTGAACACCCAGCTGGTGGAGCCATTGAGTCTGGCTGGTAGATAGCACTCCAGTAGGCTTTAACATGATCACACCAACAGAAAAGATTTACAGTAAGCAAACTCATCTAGAATGCAGAAAGCTTTGAAAATAATTATGAGGTAATTAGAAAATCTATTTCTGCTTCATTTTATAGCACCGGGGAAAGAGAACTAGAATGAGAGCAACAGAGTGCTCAAATGCTTTAAAAAGTGATAGCTTAAACTTCCTCTGAGAGTCATTCCGCTGCAAAGTTCAGAAATTCAATTAAAAATGGAACACATAGTGGTTAAACACATAGTAGGAATGCCCCTGGAATTTTATGAGAAGGTGTTATGTATGGACTCGTATGGCAAAGATATTGAGTCAATATGTCCCAGAATAAAATATGTTCCAATATATGAAATCATGCATATATTTATAAATATTAAATAAAGTAATCCAGAAAAACTAATGTTTTACTATGTGTTTTTTCCGCATCCACAGCGACATCCTCCTCATCCAGAAGTGAGAAAACCACCAAAAAAGGGGCCGATGCCTGGGGTAACTAAAAATTTCACTACTCCGTAGTTACCTTAAATGCCACAGGCATCGCAATTTTATTATATCTTATGGCAGACTGACAGTATCACAATTCTCTGTCTTCCAAACAAAACCCATGGCAGACTGGTAGAATAGAGCACCTCACTTTCTTCCTTGCCAAGAGATTAATGCTTGATTGCACCTTATGCAAGAAGAGATAAGATATTTGTGTCCTCATGCTGTGCTGACTTACCACAGATTGGGTTTGATACACCATCAACAGCATGTCAGCGGGGCCAGAAGATCTGTCATGCTATCTCTGACTGTTGTTCCCTGGTGATCCTCTCTTTTTTTCTTCCTGTAGAGACTTCCTGTGTTCAACAGTCAAACTTAATTCAGTACTTCTTTCTACTTTTACTTCTTATAGATCCGAAGTGGGACAAAGACTTCAGCTATGGTAAGAAGCTACATGTGACTGTGCTTTTTGTGTGTTATTACCTGTTGGGTCTATGGTTGAGTGTTTGATTTTTGTTTTATATGTCCAGATTATGAGTCCCTGCGCAGGGCTGGATTGTCCATAGCGGCATTTCTTTTCGTCCTGGGCATCCTGGTCATTAGCTGTAAGTATGACTCTGAAAGCCACTTGTCTTTCTTTTAAATGTAAATATATTTGACTGTCCTTCTCAATCTTTTGCTTAATTCTAACTACAGGTGGCAAGGTCTGTCGCCTGCCCAAGTGTCACAAGAGATCAACTAAGTAAGTACTTAATAAGTTTTTGCAGGTGCACGATTAGCACAACTGCTGAATAATTCAAGAGAATGAAAGCTGACAGACAAAAGTTATGTTTAACTAAATTACAGTCCATGTAAGGTCTATGTCCATGAAAGGTAGCAGTGTTTATATTATGCTGCAGTTGAATGAGTCAAGTAATTAATCACAGGCTACTAGATGATACATGGCAAACAATCAGACATATAATAGCTTACCCGAATGCTGACTTAAATCTCTGTGATGATTAATAGATCAAAAAGATTATGATGAACCTATTTGTTGGGCGAAGCCATACCAGACCAACTGTAACAACTGCAAACCACATTGTTTATTTTCCTTACTGTGGTATGTGTCTATAATAAATATAATTAGTTGCTTAAATAGTGTTTGATTCTTTAAATATTCCATGTGTTTATTTTCCAGGTCATATCGAGTGGTCCAGGGATAAGGAGAGAGTGTACGCTGATAAAGTACAGAGCTGCAAGAAACCAACCTGGAGTACACCAAGAGAAAAACACTCAGCCAACACCTGGCAACATGTGTGTGCATGTGGATTGACTGTATGCTGCTTTGTAACAGTTTCAAACCATGAATCATGCAGACAAGTGTGAAACAAAAGTGGAACCATCACCCGCTTAATCTTTGTCAAATGTATTTTCTATAGTTGGCACTAAAAAAAGTAAAGTGATTATTTATCTTGGAAAATAATGAATTAAAAAAGATATGATTCAAATTTTAATCAGCAGGCTTGTTTCTGATGACCTTTGTATCTTATAACTGATAACACAGACAGTGTCTCATAGTCAGCATCATTATTAAAGGTTCTGACGAATAACCCCATAACAGCTCATATTTGACAATCCAAAACACTTATATAATTTGTCAGGATCTAAAAATGAAGCTGGGTCACTTCATCCACGCTCTTCACACTTTCAATTTCAATTCAACAAAAACGTGATGTTTAGTAAGGGGTGTCTAAGCTTCTTAGTGGCTCTATGCTTGTAAGTGAGTAAAGCCCTAGATTAAACAAGATCCAGTGGCGCATTATCTTTGCATCCATATGGCATCAAAATGATGCAGATAACAAAGTGGGAGAAACCAAGCAAATTTCATAAAAGCTTAAATGTCAAAATCAACACAATCCAGAGTTCAGCAGACCTATATACACAGTAGTATTCATTTATTGCTATAAGACCAAAATCAAGATGACAGCAGCTCAATTACTAGATCCGGATACACACATTTAAACATTGTTTCTGCAATATGACACTAAACTACAAATATTTTACATTACAAAATTGTTTTTGGCAAATATCTGACCAACCACCACAGCTTTTTTTATACACAATGTATAAATGAATAATGGACAGAAGGCATAACCCCTTGAATTCAACAAGTATATAAAAAGACAATTTAGCCACATTTGTTAATACATATAATATTTTATATATTAAAAACTAAAACTTCAGTACGGTGGCCCTGAGAATACACTGCAACTTAAAAAATACATTTAAATCGACAAAACATAAGACAAATGTGTGTTTTCTCTCTTTGCACAATGTTTCTGCATTTTGTTGAATTGTGTTTTCCGTATAGGCAGCTCATTTACATATTTTGTTCTGTTGAGTGTATTTAGTTGTGTTTTCTGTATTTGATTGTATTTTCTCACTTTGCAGCATTTTTTCCATTTTCTTGTGTCTTGTGTCTTTGCGTGTGTTTTTGTTAAGTTGCAAGCATTGAGCTGTTACGGCCACCACAGGAGAATCAGACAGTTTTAAAAAAAGAAATAACCTTTTCCACATTCATCACGTTGAGAAAGACACAAAGCTCAACAGCTACATTTGTTACATTTACATCAGTAGTATCACTGCAGAAAGGCTTTACAGGAGAGTAGAGTTTGGTCACATGCGTGGAGCAGGCTCGACCAAATACTGGATTTCTCTATGGGGTTTTGCACAAGTCTGTTTGCTTTCTACATTTTGGAAAAAGAATTCAAAGAGATTACTCTGCTGCTCAAATATTGCATTGCAGTTTGTTTGTCCAACAGGAATGGTGAACATGAGTAAATATGAATAGGTAGACTACAAAGACATAAAAACTGAAATGTTTTGTACTGCAATTTTTGTCCAATTGTCCTCTCTTTGAAATGCTAAAACATATTGAAGGCTTATTGGGCAATGCTACACTTTTGATTAATACGCATATTGTACACACAGTGCTGAAATAATAATAACAGTTATGCACAATCACAAATGCCAAGCTGACACTTCCACATAAACCAATAGCCACTGTGCACCCTGATAAAGACGTGACTGCACAATTGATTTTGCTCTCAAATCTGGCTAGATTGGAGCCCGGCCTTGCTCCCAGTGATGAGATTAGCTGCAAGACTTAGTGGAAGAACAAAGTGAGATCCTTCTTTGACAAATCCAGTGTTTAACCCCATGTAGCCATTCCCAGTGTTGATGACCCCATTATAAGTGTTGCTCATAAAGCCACACATAAAATACATGGCTCCCTTCTCTGTATTGCAACCAATACAGCAACCAGGGGCTCTTCTTTGATAGAAAGCTTTCTTTCACAGGGCATGATTGATTTCCATTTAAATGAAAACAGAGAAGCCATCAAACGCCATATGAATGAAACAAAGGCATTGTTGGTATTTTCCAAATCATCCCCAACACTTCATTTGATTCGTGAGATTTTATCACTCCCTCGCACACAGCTTCTCTCTACCACTGTGTGAGGCATTAATCTAACTCTCAACAGCATTCAGAGAGCTATTTACAATCTGCGAAACTAAAGTGAAAGCCTTTCAAAACGAAAAAGAGAGGGGGGAAAAGAAAACATCATCATTCATGGCGGTCGATTAATTTGCTGATGTTCACACTGGCTATTTCCACTTGTTTCTTTTTTTACTGAGGTTGAGAGAGGGGGGCAGGTTTTTATCTTCCTATTACACTGTCTCCTGTCATTCTTAATAGGCCAGGAACAGAAGATGTCAGACAACTGAATAGGAGAAGGCAAATACAGTTTCACTGCATAGCTGGTGGGAATAATTTCTTGTTTCAGGTAGTAAAAAAAGGGGGGAGCTCTGGCTGTGCTAAATTATCCCTTTTAACAAAAGAAGCTTTAAGCCATATTCACTGGCTTTGATTTGGATTCCTCAAATAGAATCCAATTAGAAGGTTTGAATATGTTCCAAATGTCCCAGGCTAAATTGTGTGTATGTGGAGTAGAAATGGCTGGGACAAAGACAAAAGTATACAACAGTGAAAAAATAAAAGAAAAAAACAGATATTGCATATGTATTGATGAGTTTGGGCAGGAGTGAGCAATGAACTGAAGGGTGACAAGCAGGCTGTTGTGCAAAGAAGTGTAACTGTCCTGAGTAGGAGATGACATAGCCCGCTGCATTGCTCCTCTCTTGCCTGTGTGTTATGGGACTGCTACTCCACCAGGAATTAGACGGACACTTTCTGGTCCTGCTCTGTAGGCACGGAGTATATCCTGCAGAGAGAGGGGGAACAGGTCGCAGGAAGGGAATACAGGGAAAGGGAGGGGGGGCAAAAGCAAAAGTATGTCATCTTTAAGATATTTTTAGGTTCTTTCTCAGTTTGTTAGCAGGAAGACACAAGAAACATCCCTGCGTGTCAGAATTCTGGAAACGGCATGCCTGCCTCAAGCTGCAGGGCTCTGACAGGTGCGTGGTGACTGCATCACCTCAAAACACAGCTCATCCCCAGGTGGGACTTATAAACCTGGCAAGGCACTGTTGATCCAACAAGCCAGAGGTTGCTGTGTGATTAAGCCTCTTTTCAGCAGAGCGATCAGTCAGCACCAAACACAGCCTGAGCTGACTGTGGCCCCAGGAGGCAGCAAGTAATCCTGGGGAGGAATTTAACCCCTTGCAGATTGTCTGAGTGTCTGCGCCACAATGGCAGTTCTCCTGCTGCTTGGAGATCTCTGGAGTCTAATTTGAACTCTGTAACCCCTCTGACACAACCTGCAGGTCATGCATTACTGCACTCCAGAACAAAAGAAACCTGATTACGTTGCAGAAAGTCTTCCTGGAGCTAACTGTGGTTAAATAAGCAAAGTGTAGAAGGGAGGCAAAAAGCGTAGATAGCGTCTCTGTATAACTGGTTTAGGCTGTTCTGCTGTATGACTGCTGTTGACAGATTGTTGTCATGGCGCCAGGATCATGTTTACTGGATTGCTTTATTTCTGAGTAGAGTCATACTCAGGCCTCACTTCATGAGGTAAGCTTTGGAACAGGTTAGGTCCTGTTCCATTCGGTCATACAGACCCAGTGGCACTGTCTTAAGGCTATTGTTTGATGGCTAAGATGGAAGGGTTAGAGGTGGGGAGTGTTCAGTGGTGGCAGTGGAGGACCTCAGGCTGTCATACTAATTTCTGTACAAGTCCAAACGAGCTGAGATGGGTGGATGCTTGTTGTGTTTTGCCACCTGAGTGTTTTTGTCTGATTTTAATGCTGACAAGTTGGATGGAGAAGGGCAAATTGGCAAGGAAGCAGAAAGGCTGTTACCCACCAGACTGGTTCTGTCACCTGCAGGCTGACTTAGCGCAAAGTGGAACATGCATTTCTCAGTAAAACACTGAGACAGTACATATCAGAGGCCGTAGGGATAAAATAAATGTTCTTCTTGAGTGTGAGAATGAGTTACACAGAAAATGGAACCCACCAAAAAGATATTCATAGATTTTTTTAAAAACTTTAAATATCAACTTTGAAAGTGCAGAGATTTTATCTTACCCTTGCTGCCGTCTGTGCATGCGGCGTCTTACTAACATGATGGCTGCAAGTAGAAATAAAAAAGGAAAACGGTCATGGCTACACAAGAAAAAAGTTCATATGTGCTTAGGTATTAAAAGCTTTACAAGACACACAGGGACTACAGTGATTCTGGCCAAGCACTGAAACAGCAGTGCATATGTCAACAGAGGGAATGAAACAGGCAGTCTTTTACATTTCACTACATTATGTCTCAACAAAACACAGAATACTTACAGACTACCGTTGCAACTGAAAGAGTCAAAACAGTCACAGCTACAACGATGACAATCAGGGTGAGGTGATCTACAAGATAAAACATAAAAGGTTGGCTGTAAGTGTATTAAACAAGCACTTAAGTTGACACCTGTGACATTATGAATCCTTTACACTTGATATGTAACATTTTAATACACTGAATATATGTTGCTAGTTATAATTAAAATACTTCTCTTACCCATTGTTCCTTTTACACCTGTGGCTTTATCAACAACTGAGTGAGGATCAAGGGTGTTATCACGAGTATTCACTACTAAGTGGGAGAGAGAACAAAAGAACAGTTATACGAGTTACACTGATTTCAGGTGTATTTTAACCCCCCACATAGCACTTTATGCAGTACTTCTACTGCAAACAGAATATAACAATCAAACTTCTAAACAAGACTTTGGAATGGTCATTGTTCTTCGTGCGTTAACAAATGTTTCAGGGTTTCAATAGAGGATCCAAGTCATTAAAGGAATAGTTCTACAGATCTAATAGTTCTTCTTGCAGAGAGTCATTAATTAACAAGCTAATTTGTTTAATCTGTACCAAAACCAGTTCACCTGACGAACAATACTACAGCACAAAACCCCCTGTAAACCCCTTGTGGTTTTTACACCAATAATAAGTGAGCTTTAGAGGAGCTTGCTTTTGTATTTTTTTTACCTTTAGACAGAGCCAGGCTATGGTACTGTATATACAGTATACTGTATGTGCATGAGTGTCTACAGAGAGGAAGAGGGTTGAGGTTTCAGATGAACTCTAGCAGAAAGGCTGCTTCACCAAGAGTCAAGATTTGTTCTAAACAGATCTGTAATTCTATCAAATGTCCATCAAAGTGAAGATGAGGAGTGATGGAGAGAGGCATGGAGAGAGAATGAGAATGTCAGTGTTGATTAGCTGACCGGCACGATGGCGGAGATGTTGACGTGTTCACTGGCCTTTTGGCAGAATCCACAGGGCCCCTCCAGGGAGCTAATTGATTCAATTCAGGGCTTAATGGTTGGGAGGACGGAAAGCCAATAGGGGCCACTGCCTTCACACATCTCTCTGGACTAGAGCACCCTACACACAATGCTGACTTACTGACAATAATTACAGAATCCAAACCTTCATATATTCTCCTCTGGACAGCTACAATTACAGTGTTTGTAGGTGGGACACAGAAAATCCCACTGCCGTCCAATCCACACTGAGGTAATAAACTTACCACTTTCATATGAATCCTCATCATCCCCATCTGTGAAATAAGGAGAAATCAGATGCTTGAACAATACAGAAATGCATGTTTCTCAATGTGAGCACTTTCAAATAATAACAGTGTAAGAGTTATTCTAGTCTACAATAGTCAGGATATAGACAACACCTTTAATCTTTTAGCAACACTATTGATTGTTTGTTTTATGAAGTCAGTTGAGGACCAAATGGTCTGAGAGAAAAAAAAAATTAAACTTATAAACAAAAATCAATATTGTACACAGAAAATCAAACAATCTAAACTGTAGGCAATAACAAAACTGCAAACAAGGAACCACATCCATAAACAAATAGTGTTGACCAGAATAAATAATGAAACTACATAAGGAAGGAAAACCATTAAGTAAGAAATGAAAAAGAGGTTATTAACCTCATACATGGCCAAAAGAAACCACTAAGCTTACCCAAAGTCAAAACAAGGACAAAATACTGGAAGTGATAACAGTGCACGGATCATGTAGAAACAAGCAAAAGACCCGAGAATGAAATTATAGTGGGATAACTTCTTTGAAAACAAATATTCTTTGTTGTTGTGTACAGGTGTGATCTCTCAGTTGATTTAAATACTTAATTTGAATAACATTAATTTATATCTGTCCCTAAATAGATTTACCAGTTACAGTTACTAGCCAGTTACAACTACCTTGTTGGACAGCACCATGACAACTGTCCAGATTTTTCCAGATAAAGATGCATTACATACCGTCAGCTGATCCTTCCTTCTCTTCTTTATCTTCTTTTGAAACAGCTGCAAAAAAGTTACATTAATAAAATATTAATATTCATCACATTTCTGCTCCAAAATACTGCTACATGCAGGGGATTCTTACAAGGACTGTACAGCACAAAAGGTATCTGGGCTACAATAGGTTTAATGGTATACTTGTATTACATACATTTGGTGAAGTCTATCTGCTGTTCATTTCTGCTATCTTCTTAATATCACCATGCGTGTTCCTCTTTTTTCCTCTTCATGTTTTTCTTATATGTGTGAACACTGTTTCACTGAAGCACCTTCTCTTTTAGGTGGTTGTATAATTCAAAAGTGGGACAGTCTACATACATAGATAGATGAGGAAAACATTCCAGCGCACGGATGCATAGATCCTGATTAGATGTGTATCACCTTAAAGCGTCACAGAGATGAGAACATACCAGTAGCAGCTGGCAGCAGCAGCAGCAGACACAGGAACAGCAATCGCATCATCTTCAAATGCTGCGGGGGGAAAAGAAATGTTAAAAATATCTGCTATTAATATTCAGTCATTGATGTGTGTGAAATCAGAGATAGAGTATGATGGAAAGCAGCAACACTGTCTATTATTGAGGCGTGTCTAGTACTTTGAGTGTCAGAACCACAGTCAGTTAGTTGGTGGAAAACAAGCCAACAAGTCCTGGTGCTGTTTTAACTGGTTTAAGTATGCATGTAAATCTAGATTGTAATCTGAGGTGGGTGGTGGCAAAAGGGTCAGGGAATGGGGGACTTTATTTCCGAAAGTGCTCAGCAGAAAAACTGTTGTGAGAAAAACTGTCCTGAGAATTCTGTCACAGTCAGCTGGTAACAAGTGTCTATTGAACATTTTGCACTCTCTATGCAGTGGGTACTATGCCAGGTGTGGAGCAACACGAAAGTGTCCAGTGACTTCCACAGGCAAAACAAAAGGCAATCAAATAAATCAACTGATTTGTTTATTGTATCCTGCTAAGCAATATTCTTTTCATGCTCATCGGGAAAGAAAAAGTGTGAGCTCAATTTCACCTGCACATACTTATCTGTCAACTTCATGTTATCCTGGAAGCTAAGTAATGAAATTGCATTGGCTGTGGTATCCTTTTCCCCATCCGTTTTGGTAGTTGTTGTTCTTAAAGAAAAATCTCCTCCTCTTCCTTGTGGCACAGGGCCCAAAACAAGCCCTACCTCCGCTCCCCATCAACACCACATAGATGTGAAACACAGATGTTCTCTGCCCGCCAAACAAAGTCCCAGCTGTTTCCAACACAATATGGATGGTGATATTTTTACATGGGAAACATGGGAATGGCCTCTCTTTCAGTCGAGGTCCCGGATGATTGGTCAGATTTAGCCACTGGGGTTGGCAGGGGATCGGGAGGTAATAGTTTCTGAAACATGTTTAATACTGTACACAGAGGGAACTCTCCCATTGACCTTTGTGCCAAATGTTACAGTGTATGCGCTTCTTAATTGTTGACCATGCCCATTGTGTCCTTGTTTCCTTCTCCATGGTTAATGACTATGTGGAAAGAACTGAGGTAACCTGCATTGTTAAATGGCTTTGTTACTGACTTACTGTTTCCTACTCATTACTACAATTTATGGAAGTGGATTCTGCTCACTGTTTGGCGAGTAGATTCCAATTACCATATTTGATGAATGGAAGAAGGAAAAAAAGAGGCATGGACTTTAAGAATGGAGACAGGAGACTCGTCAATATGAGTTCATTCTTTCAGTAAGGTATTTGACAGAAAGACCTAGGCATCAGGAATCTGACCGCAAACTGTAATCCCATGTATAAATTCTATTAATTCTGCCTTTGTCATTCATGTGAGACCAATGTCCACCCTGTGAGGCCACACATGACCACAACAAGATTATCTTCATGCTAAATCAGCAGAACAGCATTAAGAACTATTTTGGTTATAAATAAGACTATATTGTAAAAATATGTTAATCACACAACTGAGGCTCATTGGAGAGGGAACGTAGTGTCCTCTTGAATAGCTGCAGTAAATCTCCAAACGCAAACAACGTAAAAAGCTGCAAATAAAATCCCCTTCTGTATCCAATTTGCTTTTCAGAGTCGCTTTGGGTGAAATAATAAGCTGATCCAATTTGGAAATATTTATCAACCCAGTCCACTGCCTCTGTATCAACATGGATCCTGACGCCTGTATTATGTTTCAAATTGGGTAATATATTCTTGTACATTTGAATGCCGATTGAATTTGCTCATTAATACCAGACCCAATTTGCAACATTCAATAACCAGTGGCTTGCTTATAAAGTAGACATGCCAGCTGCCTTCTGGTTAGAGATGCAAAGATCATAGAAGGTAAATGTAGAAATCTACAAATCACATAACTGGAGTACAGTGCTCCAAGAGAGGCATATACTGTACTGTTGCTGGAGGGTGAATCTGTCCTGTTTTTGTTCAATATTCCCCAATGCAGTTACCCACTGACAGGATTAACCTTGAACCTCATACCTGTCTGGCCAGGCAAGCCCAAAGTACAACTAAATCTTGTTTACAAGGTTTACCAACATTTACCACTCTTTCCAACCCACAAGTGTAATCTATATAAACACAATGCACACACTAAAAGAGGTTTACCACATGTACATGAACAGAGCTACATTCAGAGACACAGATTATCTCTTTCTTATCTGATCGCAGTGATAACAGCCCTCTGCTCAACCACTGTGCATCACTGACACGACTTTGACACCAGCGATAACAATCACTTACCTGCAAAGATATTAGAATTACTGTGGCCAAGAGAGTTTATATCCAAACAAATACAAGAGAGAAAAAAATGAGAGAAGGAAGACGACCGCAAAGAAAACTTTGATTATAGTGAAGACGTGTCAAACCTATAACAGACTTGCTCTAAAAACCAATGAGCCCAACAACAAGGAAAAAGAGTGAGCCAGAAAGGGAAAAGCACCTCGATCATTTGTTATTCATTGCCATTCAATTTTACAAAAGTGGTATGTGGTTCTTATCAAAATGTGTACTCAACTCTGCCATCTACTTAAGGTTGATGCAAATTCCCTTTGCCCTTTAACATAACATACTCTGCTATGCAGCTGGACCGCAAACAAAATAGCCAGGAAACTAATGATAAGGTAAAAATTAAATAATGCGAAACTCACAATACCTCAGTTGGTGCTATTCAAACCAGTGAGTGATCCACCATCGACAAACACTGTGTCTGACAACCACGCAGTTATTTCCAATACTAATGGTTTGAGGATGACTTCTTGAGCATCAGGCCAAAAAAGGCCAACAGTGACACACCTAAGAGGATATGAAAGTGTGTCTGAACATGACTGCCAAGACACATATCCTTTATTTGTTCTCTCTCTCTCTCTCTCTTTCTCACTCTCTCTCTGCATGTGTGTGCAAAACTTGTGAAGGCACACAATATAGAATTCTATGGTTGCACCAAAAATGATGGCATTTTCAACGCTTATCATGACCAAAACAAAACAGTAACAAACACATTCAGGACATAGAGGACTGGGCACGCTCACCTCAGGTTTACTTTTTATCTGATCGAGACAAAGCTGTTGTTCTTTGTTTTGTTAACAACACAATCACAAAACCTATCCCAATCACATTGAAGGTTTTCATAATCCAATCCAATCTATTTGAAATGCACACTGCATCACTCACTCTTCCAAAAAACAAGCAACTCAAAATATTTTAAAATAAACTCTGCAAAGACAAGATGTAAAGGGTTCAGTGACGTTTTGGTACCCTGCTTCATGTCTGACACTCCCTGGGCAAGCAGCATGATTAATTAGCAGGGGGGGAAATCCCTTTATTTGTCTGCAGACAAACAATTTAAGTTTTAAAAAAAACTGTAAATGGCACTGTAAATGGCAATCTTAGAGACACACAGGAAGTGGAAGACGCTATGTCAGTTTTTTTTTTTATTTACAACACCCTTGCCTTACACAACCTGTTTCCTTAAGGGAGAAATCTGCACTTTTTGGATGGATGAAATCAAGTTATTGTCACTTTGACTCACTGTATAACAAACAGAACTTGTTTAGCTCTCTAAGCAATTGTTTAGAGAAACAGCTCACATGAATTTGGCTGAACTAGGTGAGAAAGTAGTTACACTGCGGGATACAGGCTGATGCTCATTAGCTTACAAAAACGTTCAGACCTATATCTAGTAGGCTACTATTGGTGTATTATTACAATACAGCCAAATAATTACAACATTTAAAAACGACCAGTAACCTACCAACACGGGAGGACAGCTCTGTTGCAAAGTGACTCCGCTTGTGGAAATTAAGCTTTTAAAATGAAATCCTTGTGTGTCTCTTTCTCTCTGCCATTAAACTTGAAGCATTCACCACCGCTATAGCCTGTCGATAAGACAAGCCACCGCGGAGCTGACGTGTTAACAGGAAAAGCTGTTGTGTGGGCCAAGTTCGGGGCCATTTTATTCTCAGTCTACAAGGGGATTCACAGCCACCTCATCTTGCACCGTAGGCTACTGCCCCTTGCCTGTCACTCACGTTTTTGCTGTATGGTGGAAAATACCTCCGTGAGTTTGTTCGTAAGTGCTGTCACGACCGTTTTCCTGAAACTGAACTATGAGGTGATGATACTGATACTGATGATAGCAGCTTAGGGCATGCATAATATTAATGTAAATCAGTTATATATGTGCTAATTAAGTTCAATTGGTTTCTATTAGGCTATTTAAACTGAACCAGAAGTTGCAAAAAAAATTAAATAACAGCTACATTACATAATCAGAAGTGCCTTGAAGTAGTAGCTCATGGCGACATTTAAGATCACCTGACAGTTGCAGCTTAGTTTGTCAACAAATGATGACGTCCACACACTGCTTGGACTCGTTGGGAGAGAGTGTTAACGCAACGTTTTGTAACAACTGAATACTGCTCTTATAAAGAGGCTACATGTGCAGTAAAACAGCTGTTTAAAACTTACTTGCTTTACTTTTTTTTATTTCAGCCGGTGGCGTTAAGAAACGATAGGCCTAGGCTATATGCTTTGTAAAAAACACACTCCTTGCTGCTGTTATGGATATGATGTTAGTTAAAAAGTCGGGAGAGACTTTGTTTGGGAGTGAAGGGGGGTGGTAGGGAAAGTTTTTCATTTTTGATTAAGGAGCTGTATTGAGGAGCATATATTGTGCAGCACCTCCTGGCTCGCTCCCTCTTTCTCTCTCTCTCCCGTGAACGCGGCTGCACAAGCCCCAACGTTAGAATACACCCCCCAGCCCCTCCTGCTGTCATCGCTGTCATTCTGTGGGAAACACTTGAAAGTAATATAGTAACGAAATTTGTTACTTTTATCACCCATTAATAAGTAAAGTAATAACATTACTTTTTTAAGGAGTAATAACTAGTCATATATTACAATTTCTGAGTACCTTGCCCAGCAGTGGTGCTCAAACATATAAGTCCTTTGTTTGCTTAGCTGTGTCCATTTTTTACCTTCATCTGCACTCTCAATAATTTCAGCCCTCTTTCACCAGAAACACTCAAGTCTCAACAGTTCTGTTGTCTGCCTTGAGGAACTTCTATTTGTCTAGTTTTGAGTGATGAATGGGGTGTGGGTATGTCCCAACCCATGGGACAACAAAACATACTAATCTGTGCACTGGATTATGGTTAGTAATTGGTATGTTGAGAAATCTTTATTGTCTTTTCTCTGAATTGGGATGTGGCATGATGAAATAGATCACACCACACAGTTTGGCTTTTTGGTGAGTTATTAATGACCATATTGCTTTTGTTTCATTAACCTTTGCCACTATTTGCAATAACAATTCATCAGTGGTGGAAGAAGTACTCTGATTATTTACTTAAGTAAAAGTAGTAATACCACAGAATACAAATACACATTTAGTGAAAGTGCCTAAAGTAAAAGTACTCATTATTCAGTGGTCCACAGAGTAATGTATATTATGTTATTCACTTTAAAGCTTTATGTGTAAGCATCAAAATGTTGCAGTGGGCAAAGGTGGAGTTGATTTCATCTCATTACTGGGTAGCTTAAAGTACCCTTTATTAATACATACTTTATTTGATTTTATATTTTTTATTTATAATCTGAATCTACAGAGTAACTAATGTTTTCCAATGTGGAGTAAAAAGTACAGTATTTCCCTTCAGATGTAGTGGAGTAGAAGGATAAAGTAGCATACAATTAGTAAAGTAAAGTAAATGCACTTAGTTATTCCACCACTGCAAGCATATAGTATAAGCTTGTGCTAAAAATAATCAACATGTAGGAAACAGCAGTAAAAAGTAGTAACTTCATACTCATTAAGAATATTGGCTGAAAGGTGAACTTACATTTAAATGAGCTGTTGTTCAGAGTTGCCTCTATATACTGCTGGTATGTTGTTGCTCCTACGCCAAGATCCTTGTTATCATGGAAACTGCCAGACTGCACCTTAACACAGGTGTACTCAGTCAGGAACTAGGAACTGTGTTCTTCATTGGCTGCTGAGTTTGTTGAAATCTGACACCATGAGTCATAGGCCTATCTGTTATACAAGTAGACTTTCTGTGAACACTGCTCAATGCCCACACTGAATAGATGTAATCACTTCAGTAAAAGTATAGTGTTAACTGTCATAAAATCATCAACTGCTGTCAGCGTAGTCCATCTTTGTTTGTAAATCGCGTTATTGTTCACACTGGATGCACATTTTCTGCAGTTGTGATGTGGGAGCAAATACTTTTATATTGAATATTAAGTGTAATTCAATTTTATTTTATCCTCTGCAGGTCTGGCCTGGTAGGAAGTTCCTGATGATGTTTCCCCCTCATAATGACCCAACAGCACGTGTTAACCATCTAGTAACTATCACAGCTGCTGGTGTTGGGACCTCAGTCACTGAAGGTTCTGGAAAGCAGCTTCATGCAACGCATCTTCCTCTCTGCTTGCCATGCAAAGATGACTGACCTGCCAAAGTCTGTGGGAATGCACAGTGATCGCTCCTCCTATCTCCTCAGTGTGAACTCTATATGGCCTTTTACAGTCCTTCGTCTCATTCTGGACCCCCACTGGTTGTGACCACAGCCTCCTTCATGATATGTCCTCCTGGGTGACCCACTACTATCCCATTAATCTTCACTTCCCTAACCAGGCTGCTGTCAGTCAGATGGTGATCACAAGCTCAGACCATGAGACATCAGTGGATATCTTCCTCTCAGGGGAAGTGCTCTTTAAAGGCAATACGTACTCCAGGCGTAGTGTCCTTAAGGTGCTGGGGGGCTGCAGAGTGTTTATCTCCAGAGCAACTCCAGCCTCTCTGACTCAGAGTTGAACTCCCATGAAGCTGTACGTGTTGAGGTTGGTTTTACCTGCTCCAAACACACATCTGGGGATTGCTTGTATGGATTTGCTGAACTGAAACCAGTCCCTCACTGGAGTTTTGATTACATTATCCCGCCCTTGATAAACACAGGAATGAGTTCCAGTTTCCAGTTGGCAATAGCTACTATCAACTCTGACCTGGATATCACCACCAGAACCTGGCGAAAGACTGTGAGTCTTGGTTAGTTGGTAGAGTTATGAAAGTCATCCCAGTTGTGACCTCGGACAAAATCCACATTACTAGTCAAAGTCCCATTGGACTTGTTTACATCAGACGTTACAATGAACAGCATCCTTCTACTCAGTTCAGTCTGCCTGTCTAGATGTAAATGCTTAATATAATATAGCCAGAGCATATTTGAACAGTGCCACAGTCTCCACCATCTACACACTGCAGATAAGCATCCAGGGCTTTAATATTTCCATAGTTAAAGAAGACAAAAATCATGTTAGGGTGAGTGTGCTAAACTTATTTAAATTAAACATACACTTTTTGAAGCTGTTCAGTAATTGTTCATGCACATTCTTTGTTGTTGCATCTAAATTCACAGGTTAACTGGCAGATGAGGAACTTGCCCCTCAACCTGGGTCTCTGAACTTTTATCCAAGTGGCTCCAGCATTGTCTTAGACACTGCCTTTGGCATGGCTCTTCACTAGGACAGCACAATCTCCAGGTTGAAGTTGGCCCAGAGCTGTATGGAGTCCTGTGCGGTTTGTATCAAAAAACTAATCACAGCTCCTCAGATTGCATCATTGCCTCTAGTGGCACTGATGAGACCCAGGGTATGGATTCTACCCTCCCATGGTTGGTGAGAAATTATGCAGGCTCCTGTATTCCTGGCATTAATGGCAAGTCCTTCTGGACTGGGTGCACCCTACTGCAGAGGAGTGGTGGACCTTTTACAGATTGTCACTCATATATTGATCCTGAGCCATTTGTTTGTAGTTGTGTGAACCTTTGTGTCAATAAAGTTGCCTCTTCTATGTGCAAGATCTTGACAGCTTATGCCAACAAGCTGGGGTAGTGATAGTGCAGTAGATAAGACACATGCCTTTGGTGTGAGAGACCTCCAGAGGAGTGCGACCTCAGACGTACATAGTAATTGTAAGTCACTTTCGATAAAAGTGTCAGCTGAATGTATGTAATGTGCCAGAGGCTTGGGATCAAAGTCCAAAACTGGCAATCTATTGACACGTGCCGTGAGTTGTTAAGTTGATAACATGGTTTGCTGAAAAACCTCACTAAGAGTATGTTCCTTTCACAACTATGAACAACCACTATGAGATCTGTGGTTCTGCCTGCCTTGCTACCTGCAGTATCTCCCCAAGGAGAACTCCTGGATCGACGAACAGTGCCAGGAGAAATGTGTCTGCCAGCTTGACTCCAGGATGGTTATGTGTGCTCAATCTCATTGCCTGGATGGTAAAGTGTGTCCTGGGGCTGTCACATGGATGGGCCTGGGGTGTGTATAGCCAGAGGAGATCTCCATTTTACCACCTTTGATGGGCGTAACTTTGATGTCTATGGCAACTGTACTTACCTACTCGCTTCTCACTGTCCTACCTGGGAAGACCTGGGTGTGGAGGTCCAGAACCAGAAAAGGGGTGCTGCAAATGTTTCCTTTCAGCATGTTAAAATGGTGGTCTCTGGTTATTCCGTTAAGATGTCAAATGATTGCAGTAACAGGGTTATGGTAGGTTCATTTATTTGCCACAATAAATCTAGACAAACTATGATTTGTCCACTTGCAATGTTAACATCACTGCACTTGTCTCAGGTAAATGGTCTGCTACTGCATCTTCCATCTGTGTTGAGCCAAGGCAAAGTAAAGCTCTACATGACTGGACTCTCAAAGTGTATAGACTGACTAAACATGAATGTGTAGATGTGCCTATGAACACCTCTGGTTGCAATTCACAAGATATGGCTCTTTATGAGAGAAAAGACTTCTGTGGACAGTTACTGGATACAGAGGGAGCATTCCAGAGCTGTCACGGAACAGTTGATCTGCAAGATTTCTGTGATAACTGTGTTAATGACCTCTGTAATAGTAACCAGACCATTCTGTGTCAGATTCTGTCCAGTTATGTTGCTGTATGTCAAGAAATAGGAGCTATAGTGGATGAATGGAGGGCTTCCAAATTTTACAGCAAGTAACCATAGTGAAATCTTTTTTTTCTTTTTGTTAAACGTGTACAGAATGGAAATATTTTTTTAATGAAATTGTTTCATCTCTGTCCTTAGAGCTCTCCTGCCCACTTAATAATGAATACCACCTCTGCTCCAGTCACGTGTCTGACTGTGTAGAAAACCCAAGTCTTGTAGCAGTGAAATGCAAAGAGGGTTGTTTCTGCAAACCTGCGTTTTTCCACAGAGGTGGGGAATGTGTTGCACTTTTATAAGGGTGCTTACCATGAAATCCATGAGAACTTTTACCCTGATGAGCACTGTCAGCTGCACTGTGTCTGTGTGGGCCACAACAGAGTGCAATGTAACAACCACACACGTCCAAATGGAACAAAATGTGCCATCCAAGATGGCCACAGGGCCTGACATACTTCACAGCCTGTTAAATGCACAGTCATGGGTGGCAGGCACTTTAGGACCTATGATGGACACAGCTTTGACTTTAATATCGGAAGATGTCGTTATGTTCTGGCCAAGGTTTGTGACAGGGAAGAGTCAGATCCCACTGTTATCATCCAGCAAGGACAGCTGTACTTCAGGGTGACATTCAAGATGGAGTATTGGGAGAAAGTAAAGGTAAACAGTTGTACATTTACAAGCAAACTGTTTAGTGTGCCTTTATTTGTAATTTAGCATTTTTAGATTGATGGTGTTTTGAGAGGTCTGCCTGTCCAGCTGGATCACAAAAATAATAGTGATGTTTCCATCTTTGTATCTTCCTGGTCGCTTTCATCAGCTGGAACAAATTGCTCTGAAGAAAGTGATCTCTGTTCAGAGTGCAACTCTACCATGGCAGCTGAATTTGCATCTGATAACCTCTGTGGCATGCTATCTGCTCCTGCAGGTTCATTTCGTGGATGCCACTCCACTGTGGACCCAGAACCCTTCTTTCAGAACTGTGCAAATGACTTGTGTATGTCTAATGCAGTAGTTTGAAGGAGTACACTTTTGCATGCCAGGATGCAGGAGTTAAGGTCAGACCATGGAGGGGTGAAAACTGTGGTGAGTATTAATCTTGACTTTCTTATGTGTACATGTGTTGTTTCATTAGTCTTTTATGGTGTAAATCATACAGGTCTGCACACATGCTGCTGTACTCTTAAAACTCTGGCGAGCTCTATACAGTAAAGTTGCCGGATTGATTTAAGGCTATTTGGACTCTGCACAGTATGTGAACCCTTTTTTTCCCTCTCACAGTGCTCTTATGCCCTGAAAACTCTCACTACAATATATATGTCAGTGGCGTGCCCTGAGTCCTGTGGTATTTTATTCGATATCCCTTGCCCACGGGCCTGTTATGAGGGTTGTCAATGTGACTCTGAATACATGCAGCGTGGAAATGGCTGCATCAAAGCTGAGAAATGTTGTTGCTTCTACCATGGGTACTACTATGATGTGAGTAGCTACACATTATTTAGCTTAAACCAACATACATATTCCCTTATCACAGCAATAAATGCATGATTTCTTAATCCAGTGGAACTAATATACATGTCATTTGATCCAATCTGAAATAAATTTACATGTGACCCCACTGCAGGCTCAGTTACAAACATGTTGCCACAGCTAAAGAAGTGACATCTTCTAGTTATTCCTGTTAATAACATGACTCATTTATGTCATTGGCCAAACAAACATATGCCTCACCTGTACGTGGGGCATGACTAATCACAAAATCCTAGTCCTTTTGTGTTATGGTTTGTTTGCTTGCTTGCTGTTGGAGAACAGTTGGGTAATGCAAAACAACAATGACTCACTGTTGTCTTTAGATTGGGGAGATCTCGGGGGCTGAGGGATGCTCCGAGCAGTGTAACTACTCCACTCCACACGCCACCATGAGTTGTGAGCCAGCGTCTTGCCCCGAGGGACAGCGCTGCACCCTGAACAATACCTGGGGCTGTGCAAGGACAGGTAGGCCCAGTTGGTTCTGTTGGGTTGGGTGACATTTCCTCACAGGCAAACTGTTGTTCACTCAGCTGCACCATGCAACAATGTCTTACATTATTATTTTTTTTTTTGTCACTTTGTGGTATGAGGTTACAAAACATTTTTCTCAATGTCCTTCATTTGACCTCAAATGAAGTTAAACCTTGTTTGCATGTTTGAATTGTCCATTAAATCACTAATTTTACTTTCAGTATTTGCAACCATTTTTTAAGGGAGGGGTGTCTGTTGGTATTTCTAGTAGCATGTGTCTTCTACCTAAACTGCCATTAATATTGTAATTTTTCCTCTTATTTTTTCAGCTGAAAAAGATCAAATCTGTGAGAATGGAGAGACTTGTGTTGTCCAGAGCCAACCTCAAGAATCCCAGTGTTGGGTACTGGGAGGCTCCCACATCTACACTTTTGATGAAAAAGCATTTGATTTTGCAAGGAAACTGTACCTTCACACTGATGCGTATATTGGATGACAACATGGGGAATAATACATTTTGGGTCAGGATACAGAAAGGCAGGACTCCCAATGAGGATTCCTCTCTAAAAGCTGTTCATGTCCAAGTAGCTAAAGACAAAAGTGCTATCTACAGAGGGGAAAAAGGCTATGCTTGGGTAAGTTTGAATTTGGAGAGTCACCTCACCATTATAGACTTACTGTCTGTGTGTGATTTACTTAATCAGTTATGGTGGAATGGCATCTTATTATATAATGAACATTTCTTTATATATGGCCTCAGAACCTCACAGGGTGAGGCTGTTGATGCTACCACCTTTGGCTGGAGCTGGAGAGTTCCTGATCAGGAAGCTCACTGTACAGCAGATTGTGGAGATTCATGCCCATGCTGCTCTGCTGAAGAGCTAATAGAGAAAAATGGAGCTTGTCAATGGTGCTCCCAGCAAGAGTATGTTTTGTCACCACAAAATCCATTTTGCCTGTGCCAGGAAGTTGTTAACTACACAAAATTCTCCACATTTGTGAACATATTTGACCTGTGCTCTAGTAATAACCTTCAGAAGGCCCAATGTTGGAGGCCTATGCTGCTGCCTGCCAAAATGCCCGGAACCAGATTGGAGAGTGGAGGAACAGCACCTTCTGCCATAAGCAAATTTGTGTTACTGCAGCTTCTGCATCCTGGCTTGTGTAGAGACCTGCCAATGTGACCCAGGGTTCGTCCTGGGTGGTGCCACCTGTGTTTCCTTGTCCCACTGTGTCTGCACTCTCAATGGCGACCATTACCACAACAACCGGACCTTTGGGTCTGATGACGGATGCACTGAACGGTGCGTTTGTGACCCCCACACCAACCAGCTGCAGTGCCAATCGGATTCTTGTGACTCAGATGAATATTGCGGTCTTCAAGATGGAGTCAGAAGCTGTGTGGCGCACACCCAGCAGACGTGCATGTATACCGGTCATCACCTTTGACCAGCATGACTATGATTTCCATGCGTGGGCAGAAACAAGGCATTGATACCATTCAGGTTGACGTACGGACAGATGGACACCTAGAATAAGCACTTCATGTCCTGGTCAATGTGAGTGGTGTGCTTGTGAAGCTAAACAGTAAAAACATTGAAAGAGGTAAAAGACAGAGGTAAGCGCTTTACTGTGAGTTTGTTTACTTGAATAATTTTTCTGACACTGTAATGTCTCATACATTAATTATCTAATAATAAAATCTGACTTCATAAATATTACTTTTGAAAACTGTTGTGTTTCCCTGTGCTTTCTGAAATGCAATTTTGGCACCCCCTACAGGTTGATGGTGTCAAGAAAAACATGCCCCATCAATTCAGCCCAGCTGCAGCGGCTTTCTCTTTTGGGGCTGCGCACTTCCATCAACACAGATCTCAGCTTTGAATTTAGTCTGAGCACAGAGGGCATAGCAGGCATTAGTCTCACCAGTAAAAATGCTAATGCTACTTTTGGCCTGTGTGGTAACTTCAACTCTGATCCTGCTGATGACCTCACAGCAACATTTTGGAAAACAATGGAGAAGTGGGCAGATTCTTGGTGTGTGGAGGACTGTCTAGGAAGAAGTTGTCCAAAATGTTCATCTGAGCGTCCGGCCCGCTTCTCTGACCCGGAGGCTTGTGGGAAGATTCTGGAAATTAATGGACCATTCACACACTGTCATGGCAAAGTGGACCCCTCCAGCTTTTAAAAGCATGCATCACTGACCTGTGTCTTTATGGAGGTCTCCAGCCTGCACTATGTCACTCCCTGAGTATACTGCTGTCTGCCTTTCCCACAAGGCTTCGGTTTATTCCTGGCGAAGTCCTGTTTTCTGCTGATTCTGAGTGTTAATGTGCTCCGAACTCTGTTGTGCAAGTGAATTAAATTTAATATTCTCTACAATTGTAACTGTACTGTTTTGTTGTTTGGAGTTCAGCATCAGTGCACACCAAATTAAATATGTAGAGTTTGTATATCCAATATCATCACGTTTAGATTGTTAATATTGATCAAGTACCATGAGGAAAAGAGAATGGAGATTATCTGCATACAAATCAGATATATGCCTGTAGGTACTTAATGTAAAGTTTGTTCCCTTGTGTATTTATATTGTAGTTTATTCAATTTTTAGTATACATACAGTGACTCATTGGTATTGATGCCATAACCTTTCAGGTGCTCTTGGACCACTAGATGGTACTAATGCATCACTGGTCAACCTTAACCTTTACAACATTTTCCAGTCTTCCCGACTTAATGCCTGTGTATCTCTACAGACCTGTTCTGTCCCCCAAGTACCAGTTACAACATGAGTTCTGCCTCTGTTCACCTCTGCCTCGGCATGCAGAATAACACAGTAGACAAGCCTCTGTGAAGCAGGTTTAGTTCACAGTGGCAGCCTCTGTGTCTTCCCAGAAAACTGTAGCTGCTTTCACAATGGAGAATAACTCAGGGCAGGACAGGAAGTGTCTACATGTAAATAAAGCTAGGGGGCACATGACTTGTGTGTGGAGAGCTTGAGGAGTGTTCAAGGTTGCCACCCCAAAACTGGTCTGTCGATGGATCCCAATACACCACGTTTGATGCACCGGCATTTGAATTTCACACAGACGTGCTCGCTCAAACTGGATGCGGAGCCTGTTTTGGTAGCTGTGCAGGGCAACCATAGAGGGGGCAGGCAGATCTACCTGCAAGTCAATAAAATGTATTTTAAGAGGCTTTTCCAGGATAAAAAAATCAGGTAAGTCATATAATGATTTCACAACCTTCAGCATGATTTATTGTGCATCCCTTGCTATGTGCTGTAAAGTGTTTTTTTCTCAGCATAAACAAACTGTATTGTATAATATGTTTGTTTTAATGAATTATTTCACCCAGGTAAATGGAGTTTACGAGAACATGCCATTCTCCCAGAACAATGTCACTGTGCAACAGAAAAATGGATGGATAACCATCCAGACCCCACAGCCAGTTGAGCTTAAATCCACATTCTGGTCAAGATCCTTGACATTTATTACCAGACAACCTGTGGTGTTTGTGGGAACTACAATGCTGATCCCTTATTTGACCTGCAGCTTTCCAGTGGCACCATGATCTCTGATCCTGACATCTTTGGGCCATCATGGGAGTTTGTTTGGTGATTGAATCATCCTGCAGCGACACGTCTGTCAATTCTGCCAGTACCCTGTGCCTGAGTACAACTCTGACCTGTACTGTGGCCTTCTCAACCATCCCAGGGGACAATTCTATGCTTGTCACCATTTAGTGTACCCACAGGAATACTACTCACTCTGCATGGAAAACCTTTGTGTTGCAGAAGGACAACACTGGGCCTCTGAGGCAGGAGGGATGGTTGACCTCTGGATGAACGCCACAGGCTGTAGTAAGTCCAACAGCTTGGTAAATTGTTTCAAAATGATTAAATGCAGTAAAATTGTACTGAATAATACTGCCATGTGTTTTATTTTACAGATGATCGATGTCCTCAAAGCAACTACAGCCAGTGTGCCAATTCTTGCTCCTCACTGTGTCCTGAGATTAGCCTGTCAGTGCAGTGCCCCAGGGGCTATAAGGAAAGTTGCCAGTGTAATACTGGATTCCTTTAATGATGGCCATAACTGTGTACCAGCAGAGCAGTGTGGCTGCTTACATGACGGGAGGAGGTTTAAGGTAAGAATGAAACACTGTTTTCTGTCCATTCTAATTAGGAATGTTAATTTAGCTAGTCCTACACTTTTACTTGAATTATACCATTTCTGTTTGTAATGTTTTAATTAGAAATGGTATTTGACTAAATTTTACCTTGTCAGTAAACACATTGCAATGTACTTTTTTTATTAGTTTATATTAAATGTTTCTATTTTCAGGCGACAAACTGCTACAGAACTGTACTGTCAACTGCATCTGTGGTCCTCCTCTTTGTCTGTGAGCAATATTCCTGTTCTCCACTGCACAGTTGTATAGTTTACGATGGAATCATAGGTTGCCCCAAGGATGGAGAGGATTTCAATTAAGGAAATATACTTTTAGATACTGATTTGCTTGCCAGTGCAATTATTAATGCTGTTAACATTATTTATTTTTTCTTAAGCAGAGCAAAACCCACATGTGATGGAAAATATGATGAAACAGAGAAATGTTACCTGAGCAAATGGTATGCCTGTCTGTGAGAGCCGTTGGGGTTTGTGCTGGGCCTGGGGAGGCACTACCACACCTTTGATGGGCTCAGCTATAACTTTGAGGGTATCTATGTGCTTGCAGCCAGCAAAGGGGCAGCACGTGGCTTGACACCTTTTAGTGTGTCCAAGAACAATGGCAGCATAGCAGCATCCTCCACACCGGTGGTCACTGTGCAAGCTTATAGATTTGTCATCAAGATGCAGCATAGATGTGAGTAAATGTCAGTTTCTGAATGAAGAAGATGTTTAGGTTTTAATTTTATTACTTATCAGTCTCCCCTTTAATTTTCAGCTTAATGGTCAAGTGACTCATGTTCCTCTGTTGAGGGGTAAGATCCAGGTATCTTACAAAGAAGGCAGAGCTCTACTGAAAACTGACTTTGCGATGCATGTAGTCTTCGATGGGAACAGCCCTGTTCTTTTTACACTGGACTCACACTACAGGGGCAAAGTCTATGGCCTGTGTGGCAATTTTAATGGTGATCCTCAAAGTAAATATTTTGCACATACTCCTGGTACCCCTACCATTAACTGTGGAGCTCGCTCAGTCTTGCCGGCTGTGATGAGGACCATAACTGTTGTACTGGCTGTAAACAGAAACTGGATGAAGTGGCCTTCCTCACAGAATGTGTTCCTGAGGTTGTCTTAAGTCACAGGAGGCACTGTGCAGTGCTCGTCAGAGTGGTCCATTGGCCCACTGTCATTGTAAAGCCGATCCAGATTCCTTTGAAAGTTGTGTAGTCAACCACATACATACTGAAGAGTTGCGACTGATGATGCCAGATATTCCTTTTCTATAGTTTGTGGAGGATCCAGTGATAGCTACCACGGTGAAGTGACAGTTGGTAAGTAGTCGTATTGAGGGGTGCAATATAATACAGTTAAATATTTCTTTATTATTATTGTTAAATAATCTTTAAATGCCACACCAATATCCAATTTGATGTGCACTGTCCACCCACCAGAATACGTGTGGCTCACCCTTCCCTTTCTTGTCTTCCATCCTGTGAATTTAATTCCAGTGACTGTAATAAGGTCAGTGTTGAGGGCTGTTTCTGTGACCCTGGATTCATTAGGATTCCAAATGGCTGTGTGCATCCACATCAGTGTGGCTGCACAGACTCTAGAGGCAAGTACCACAGCCTCAACTCAACTTTCTGGGACAGCTGTGATCAGCACTGGGAATGCCAACACTGACCCTGATGATGACCAAATGATGCCCAATGAAGAGCTTGCCCAAATAGATTAGGGTTTGCCCACAGCTGAACAATGGTGTAGTCTGTTCCTCCAGACTACACTATTGTCCTGCTGAAGCACAGATGCTTTTTGAAGGCGGTGATTCCTGTGGGGTGTTGCTGAATGAGCTAGGGCCATTTGCAGACTGTGCCTTAGTATTAAGTCCTAAGCATTACTTCCACAGCTGTGTAGCAGATTGCTGCTCTAATGATGGACACTACTCTGCACTCTGCAATTCCACTGCATCTTATGCTGCTGCCTGCCATGCAGCTCAGCTGCCCATTAGGCACTGAAGGTGTGAAACTTTCTGTGGTGAGTATATGAATTCAGTCTGTTGTTGTTGGTCAGTTGAATTTTATTTTATTAAACCCCTAGTCAGCTGATTATTCTGTATGGCTTTCATGAACATCTTAGACAAAGCAGCAATCATGCAAACTTTGTCAAAAGTTTCAAAAATATTTTCCGGATTAATATGCAATAATCTTCATGACGCAGCCTGTCTCTCAGGTCTTCAAAGAACGGAGGCTACTCGCAATAATATTGCTACATTTTGTTTGAAATTCAGGTAAAGTGACCCCCCCAGCCTGCCAGCATTTACAGTGAGCACGACAGGAGAGAGAGGGGGCATTGCTCAAAGTTTCAGGGCTTGTCAGCGACTACTGAATTGTAATTAAAACATTTAGATATAGCCTAAATGTTGTCGGTCAGTGTCTAGTCAGTTTATATGCTGCACAAATGGTTAACAGTCCGCCGCAAAGTAGAGAGAATAGCCACCTGACCGCGACTCCTCTCGCTCTCTTTGCTGTCTCTTTGTACTCACTCAGAGACTCTGTTTGGGACTTTTTCTCTGTTCCAGGATGTTTCCCTCTAAAGCGGCTTTGAACGGCACTTTATCAGAGATGCTGAAATTAATGTTTGTGTGGATTTGTGGTGATTCTTATTTCTGATCACAAGTGTTTTCAGTTTCCGTTTTCTATCTAGCTCGTCTCATCGAGTATAGTCGCAGACGGGCTCTGTGTCTGTAGCCTACTACCATGTCAGCACAGCAGTAACGCAGGGTAATGCACAGCAGAGGGGCAGGTAGATTTTGTTAAACTATTATTACCCTGGTGGCCACTCCTACTCCATAGATTGAGATTTTATTCTCGTAATATTACGACTTTTGTCTCAAAATGTTATTCTGCAAATGTTTATTCATTTAGCAGATGCTTTTACCCAAAGCGACTTACAATTGCTATATAAGTCAGAGGTCGCACGCCTCTGGAGTAACTAGGGGTTAAGGGTCTTGCTTACAACACATTGGTAGATGGGGGACAACGGGGAATTGAACCCAGGTCTCACACAGCAAAGGCATCTGTCTTATCCCCACCCCGGCTATGTATATCAGACAACACATATATGGGAGAGATTCTACATGTGCAGAAAACCTGCTGAAACATAGCAACTGGAGTTTATAACTGAATTAAAATTAATTAATTTATAATTGAGGTGAAAAGGTGCCACATGCACATTTAAAGACTTTAGGCTACTTCAGTCATGCATGTATGTGTGTAGACTCAGCAGGGATGAAATTAAATGAGAAAAGTTGATCTACAAGAGAAACATATCTGATATTAATACATAATGCCTGAGACCCTTACTGCATTATCATATTTTGACCTTATTATATTGTCACCTGAATTTTGTGTTTCCTTTTATATAAATAAAGACATTTCCTCAATAAGTTGGTGCAGAAAAAAATCACCAGAATACAATAAATTATATGTTTAAAGCACAAATATTTCAGGGGGAGGACCCCCAGACACCCCTCAATTAATATTATCAGTGTTAATTATTATGAGTAGTAATTACAAAAATCATCAAGAAATGTCTTTGTATGGCCCATGATATTTTATTATGAAAATGACTTAGGTAAAGTAGGTATAAGGTTCAGTATGACAAACGGCATAACAAAGTAGCAAGTAGCAACAGAAAATGAGACTTTGGGTAGGGGGCGGGGGAACAGGTGAAAACATGAAAGATTTCTGTGCTGGGCTAAGCCCCCAATGTTTCAAGAGGCTGGACGTCGCTCCTGGCTGTGTGGACCTCAATGTCCCGTTGTGTGCCTTGGACTGTCCTCTCCAGCAAACTGTAGTGGAGGGTGTGAGGACGGCTGCCAGTGTGACTCTGGCTACATCTTGAGTGACGGACAGTATTACCCGCGTGAGGGAGAGTATTACCCTGGTTGCCACTTCTACTCCGAGAAAAGCTGCCAAAAGGGTAACTGTGAAAGAGGACATGTGACCTGCAGCCCCATGGAAAGCTGTTCAGCAAAGGGTGCAGTAAAGGGTGTGCCAAGTGTTTCTGGCTTTGGCTACGTCACTTTTGATAGTGTTGTTCTACCTCAGGTTACCTGTACCACTGGTATATGATTGCACTACATCTGGCCTCTGTGGGAACTTCAATGGGGATAGATATGATGACATGGAAATGAAAAATGGTCATCTTGCCAAAAGTTGTGTAGAGCTACTGCACACTTGGGCAGAAATATCTCTTGGACAGCATTGCACTGACAGTGGTGGGAGAGTGTGTCTTGAGTGCAGCCTGTGCCCACTGGACAGCACAGCCTGTGCAGTCCTGTTGATCAGTAGTATTGAAGTCGATCATTGCTGGAACAGTAGTGTTGAGAGTGATATATACGCGCGCATGTGCATTAGGGAAGTTTGTGCTGGGGAGGGTCACATGGCTGTGTGTCTAGCACTAGAAGCATATTCTGCAGGCGGCCAGGCTAAAGGAACACCAGTAGGACCATGGAAAGAGAACACTTCTTGCGGTATGTGAATCATTTTGATAACAGTTTAAATAGAGTATATGATGGACTCTAAATTATTTGCATGTCTTTCATGTCCTGCCACCAGCTCTCCATTGTCCTGACTGCAGCAGCCCAGTGAAATGTGTAGACTCAAGCTCAAACTTTTGCCCTGCTCTGCTTCAGACTGGTTCTTCAGCAACTGGCTGCCAGTGTCACTATGGAATTGTTGATGATGAGGACGAGTGCGTTCCTTACAGTCAGTGCGGATGTGTCCTTTATGATATATATCTCAAGGTATTTAATTTAATACAGACAGTAAGTGCCATATTCATCCCCTGGGGAAAATGTGGAGAATTTTCAAAGCATCTGCAGAATTAGTTTTCTCTCTTTTTAGATGGATGAGCAACTGTACATTGAGGACTTCACCCAGAGATGCTGGTTCCTCGCTTCGAGTGGGGTGATTTGTGAGGAGGCAAGCTGTGTTCTGGGGCAGCAGTGTGCTCTGAGGCATGGTTCCTGGGGCTGTCATGACAAACCTGAGGTTTGTGAGCTCAAGGGCCGCCTCCAAGTCTCCACACTCGGTGGGCAGGAGCAGAGCTCGGAACCTCTGTTATCTTATAGTCTAATGTCCCTGGGTGATGAGACAAGTGTGCAGTGGTTCAGTGCGATCTCTTACCATGGACCTTGTGATGGCAGCTTTTTCAGGCTTGTCGCTGTGTTTCAAATCCTCCTGCATGGATCATCATTTGCCATACAGGATGACACATTGGAGGTAGCTCCACCAAGAATTTTGATGGCTATGAACTGAAACATATATTGACATATTGTCACACTGTGCATGATTATTAGGCAGCTTCATTACCTCAGGTAAAATGGGCCAAAAGAGAGATTTAACTGACACTGTAAATTAAAAAAATTTAAAATGGTTTTCAGACTGTTGATTAAACTAAGTGTGTAATATGTCCATTCCTATGACTTCATGTGTTCTATGTACCATCAAAAATGGTCAATCAATGTTAGAAAAATTATAACAATTTCAGCATCAGCGTTGGTTTCCATGCTTGTTTGTTTACCCTTCTTCTTCTTTTCTTTTATATCTCTCGCTTCCGGGTGTCCCCTGGCAACCCCTATGTTTCACAAATTTTCACATCACACCACTTTGAACTATGGGCAATTCTGTCAGCTAAGAGCCATGGCACAATTTCTGATCTGACAGTGGGACAATCCTAAGACCTATCGCACTTCTCGGGAATGAGTCTGTGGACATACTTGCTGGCCTTGGGCCATACTAGCAAATGTGCACATCCACCTTTGCCATGGTGTCGGTCAGTAGTGAAAGCAAATAAAGTCTGTAGCAAGAAAAGTTTAAAAATAGGCTAATTCTACAATAGTTTGAAGAAACCATTAAAAAGATTCCACTGAATGAATATTGTCTTATTTGCTTTGGGATTCGTGTGACATAGCCTACATGTGCAATGATAATTGCTGGGTAATATGAGTATGTTATTTTAAGTCTCTATTTGATAATGTGACAAGACAACAAGACTGCTAGGTGAAACACAGACTCTGACAAGCAGACTAGCGGAGCACATGCCTGTGTGTGTGTGTGTGTGTGTGTGTGTGTGTGTGTGTGTGTGTGTGTGTGTGTGCGTGCATGTGCGTGCACATTTACTGCATTTAATGTTTTCTGTTAAGACTGTGCACAATGAGGAAACAAGGCACGCAAATTTGCTAATATAGGGTTCCTCTCGTGCATGAATTATTAAAAACATCTAGATTTTTTAAAGATTCTTTTTATTACTCAAAATTGGGCTAATATTCAAATTAACTTACTTTTTTTTGAAAATTCTGTTTTGTTTTTAAATTATTAATTATTATAACTGTCCACGTAAGTGGACACCATGCAACAAAGGAGTAAAATGCCACACCTGACAGTGGGATTGTTATGTTTTTTATGTCATGTTATGCTATGTATTTAAGCTCAATTGTTGCAAATAAACAATAAAAAACATATGTTAAGAACAAATAAAGGAAAAACACTCAGTGATATTGATAACTGTAGTTACATGTATGTGGAAACCCAGTAGCATATTGTTATCCTCATCTAACTTCTTGTTGAATCATCTCAGTTTTAACATATCAACATCCAACATGTAACAGATTACATATTAAAATTGATTGCTTTACAGTATGTGAGTGTAATACTTATTCTTATTTCGTGTAAAGGCTGCAAAGGAGTCAAAAGTTGTAATTTAATGCTGTAATATGCACTTATGCATTGTCAGTTATGTTCATATATTTGTTAAATGTCTGTTTTATTATAATATAATACAATTTATTGCATCTTTGAAAAATTAGAATAGACTCCACTGATTACACAATCAGACTCCACTGATTACCTTCACATATGTGGACAGTTGTTTGTTGGTATATAAAAACAACATTTTACTCTAAATTTGAATTTATAAAACATAAACTTGTTAATAATACTTTACTGCACATACTTTTTTAAATCTTGACTGCCCTCCTTGAATAAAAGTTTTTCACAGATATGCCTGAGACGGTGTGGTGTCCGAACGATAATGCTGCGTGATGTGTTGAGAAGAAATCCGCTTGACACTGTTCTTGATTATAAAAGTTTATTACATCAAAGAATTCAGCATCAATTACAAGCTCTGCAGCAGCTTGGAGAGTTAGCACATGGCCATCACAGTCAGCCATTGATGAGGTCATCAAGCAATAAATATTTGGAAAACAACAGTAAACTGTTACAGTGTTCATATCAATCAAATGACACTGTCCTGAAATGACTTGGAGAACATAACCATGATATAGTAACCCAAAATGGAGTTAAAATAACTGTCCACAAATGTGGATACCATGCATCAAAGCGTTAAGACAATGAGGAAACAAGGCACACAAATTCGCCAATATACGGTTCCCTTCTGGACACAAATGCTGTCTGTGTGTGCGTGTGAGTGCTTAGTAACTGTGGAGCCCAAGGGCCCATCATAAAAGCCTGGGGCCAGTTGTTACTAACTTACGCCAATGTGTCACACATAGAGTAATGGAGACAAAGTAAAGTGAACCAAATGAAGATACTCGAGTTGATGACAACTATTGTTTTTACTGGAAGTGCAATAAAACCTTTGCAAGTCAAAAGCCAATACTTGTTACACCCGTTCAACAATTTTAAACGTTAACATGTACAAATCCTCTTATAAAGATCCTTTAAAATCTTTTTTTAAATAATATGTTTTTAAAAATCTATCTTTATCTTTCAACAATGAAAAAGAACCACGTACAGTATGGTTCCGTCAATAAAATGTGGCCATTTACACCACTGATTTTACTTAATACTGTCAGCACTCCTGTCAGTTAGGCCCATACACCTTTTAAAATAAGGTCATTTCTGGCCAGTGTTGATTAGGTTCCAACCAAAAAAAACTAATGCGGCACACCTTTCTATCTAAATCTACAATCTGTATACATAACTAAACCAGAGTTAATATTGCCCTGCCCAAAGGCTTCTGACCAAATGAACACTAATAAAATATTTGAGTTTTTTTAATCAAAAAAAATCTAATGCAAACTTTTGAGGGCCAAGTTATATTTACTATCTGTCTATCACAAATATTGTTGCACCATTCACTATGTGCTGTTATTCTTGGGTGACACCCAAAACCAACAGAAACCGCCTGTTTAGCTCAGCTACTGATATTCTAGAGAATTATCCACCCATTTTGCAAGCTTTACAAGTGACACTTCTTTTACAGATCTTTGTTTACAAGCATGAACTGGCTTAAAGGACACAATATAAACATTGGCGGAAACTGTGGTGTGCACACTGAATAGGGCCTTACATGCTAGCAATGTGATGCACAATAGGTGGCTTTTCTCTTACTGATAACAAATGGCATAAAGTGGTGCTAATTAGCAGAGTTTCAGGAGCGGGACCACACATCAACCACGTCACCGCCAGCATTTCCATAAATACCCACACGTCCTAACTCCTCCCCTTCGCTCTTGTATCCTGCATCCCTCCCCCCCAACCCTTTCTCTGTCCTGCCTCCTGATCTTCTTCCTCTCCATAGGGTTATAAGGGGGTCCGTCATCCTATCATAGCTTCCCCACACGCATTCGAATGTCTCTTCGGCAACCGCAAGCCTCATACATCTTTCTGTTTCGATCATCAATAAATCATTTAATCATACCTGTTGATTGTGTGGTCCTTGCTAGTGAAACACCACATGGAAGAAGGGCATTTTGAAAGTAAACCAAAAATACAGCGATTAAGGGTGCAGAGTAGAAATCAACATACTTACATTTTATCAAAATGTCAATATGTAATATGTAACATTTTTATGTATCAAATGTAATTGCATCACAGCTGATTTATTTCTACAGAGGAAAATCTAACAATGTATGTTCTTACTAGAAACCATTTGGAAACTCATTTATTCTGTGACGTGAGATATCAATAAGATACAAATACTCTGTCAGTGTCTGCTCAGAGACTCTTGGGTAACTTTGAAGATAAGTTGTGATTTTGGTCTTATCACATTATTGCCTTGCCCAGTCTAGAATGGATAATATTATTTGGTTACGCCAGAATATACATTACAAACTACTGTGGGCAAATAATAAAAATCACCTAAAGCTTCCTGGTGTTATATATCCAATGACATTGGAATTTCTGCTTTAAAAACTGGTTCAGTAAACATGACTAAAACTCTACTAATTTCATGATATAACGTAATGATTTATTATCCAAAAGCCTTGTGCAGTGTTTTGTAAATTTTCCATTTAAAAGAAAAGAAGAGTTTCTAAAAAGATTGCATTCATAGAATAAATCTTCTACATCAATACAGATTATTAAGGAGTTCATGCAGGGATTCTCTTCAGATTCCAGGAAATAAATGACATGATGTGTATGTCATTGGGTGTGTTACTAAAGATGAATGATTCATCCCATGCTGTACATGTAGTTAGTATTGGACCTCCCACCTATGTCAACATACAGCCGTACATACAAGTCATTGCCAAGTTCTACCTTAATTTGTTTTAGAGGAATGGTATTGTTTTTCAAAGTCGGCTCTTGGGTGTTTTTGTCTGATGGAATATATAAAAGGATGGAACTGAAAAATTTCATCAAACTGATGCCTTAGCAGGTAAGCACTGTCCATTCTGAAATTGCTATTTATGTTGGCTGGTTTGTCAAATTAATGCATTTATAACATTCAAAAAATCTCATTTTTTCTGTTACTAAAACAAGTATCTCTGTATTTCAGCCATGGGGACCCTGTTGCTGCTTTGTGTTTTGGGAGCTTTATTCAATAGTAAGCATTTTGTCATACTCTGATTTTTCTGATTTCAGTGTGATATATCCGTGCTTATCATCTTTCTAATTAGTCATGATTTTAAGCTGTGTTTAATTGAACAAACACAGTAGTAGTGATGAAAATCTTTCAATTCAGGAAGATTGTTCTTTTTCTCTTCAAATTTTATCTCAAACTGTGCTAACTATTAAACAACTATTAAATCTAATTAAACATAGCTTTTTAGTAATCAATCACAGAAGCATTTCTTAAACCTTGGCTCAGAATTCCCCAGCATGACATGTAGCCAAGTGACCGCTCAATCTGAAGCAATTTATCCAGGTTGTCAACCGTATCAGTTGTGTGCAGCCATGCCAGGTGCTTGTGTGAAAGAAGAAGAATTTTAAACAGGTGAAAAATTTGTGAGTGCAAGATAGTCATCTAAATTGAAATTTGCTTTTGTTGGGAATAGCATTTACCTTCAGCTGCTATTGAGTTGGAACTATTATACTAAATGGGTGAAACAGGAGTGTAATCTAAATCCCCCAGGCCCTGACTGAGCCTAGAAAATGTTCTTTTCACACCAAAGGCACAGATATTGATAATATTTTCATTATGCAATTATATTGTCTGCGCAAGTGACTTATTGAGTGCTGCTGAGAAGCAGTCAAGTGACTGTTCCTCAGTCTAAATCTCACACAATGGTTATCAAGGAAAAAAGCAATCCATCCATTATGGACTAGCATTCATCCCTGCTTTTTAACTTTGAAATGAACGTATTTTTCAGTCACTTTCTCTTTGGTGTCATATTCTTTCTTTGTATTGTATATGTGATCCAAGAAGTCTCAAGCCAAGTTTTGTATTGCCACTCTGTGAATCCTTGGATTGCCTTGGCACATAGTAGTCTCATTCATTTCCTAATTCTTTTTTGACATGTTTTTTTCATACACAAGATTTGTGAAGCACAGTTTTGTACCTGACTTCTTCATTTTAGGTAACTTGAAAAGACATCTTCTTTTGACTCTTGTTTCCTTGCTCTTCCCCCCATCTGCCAGGTCCATCTAGCGCTGGATGGGCAGGAAGGGAGTTTGCCCTGTCATTCATGCAGAATTATGCGGCAAACTATGACAGTCCTCTCTTTCAGCTATACATTACCGCTGTTCAGGCCAATGCTAAAGTGACAGTGACAGTGCCTCCCTTAAACTTCAAGCAAGAGAAAACTCTAAATGCTGGAGAAAGGGTCATCATTAGTCTCCCCACTAGTGTTGAGATGTATGGCAGCACAAAGTGTCCCAACACGGTGCGCATTGAAACCTCAGCAGATGTGACTGTAACCTCCTTCAACTACAAGCTGTATACAGCTGACACCTCTGTGATATATCCTACCACTGAATGGGGTACAGAATATTTCATCTTTACACCTGCTGGATCCCCCTTTGGCTCTTATAAAGAGTTCGCTGTGACAAATGGAAAAGAGAGCAACCAAGTAGAGATTTTCCCACAATGCTCAATCAAGTACCAGGATCGTGTCTATGAGAGTGGCAGCCGAATGGTAATAGATCTCCAGCCATATGAGAGTGTCCAGCTCCAGAGCACGACCGACCTTTCTGGCACCAGGGTTGCTTCCAAGAACCCTGTTGCTGTTGTTACGGGTCACACCTGCACCTGGTGCTTCTCGAAATGTAATCATGTTTATGAGCAGCTGCTGCCAGTGAGCAGGTGGGGATCCAGGTTCATCGTGCCTCCCCTGAGCTTCCAGACAAAATATGATAGTGTCTACCTCCAGGCCTCCCAACCCACCCAAGTCACGGTTCAATATGGCAACCGTGAAGAGGTTTTGAGTTTGACCAGGGGGAGGGTGATGGAGATCCGCTACAACAATCCTGAAACACTGTCCATTCAGGCTGATCATGGCATCCAAGTCCTCATGCTCTTCAACGGTGTTGAACAGAACTGGTTAAAGTACTACGACCCTTTCTTAATGACCATCCTGCCCACAGACCGCTTCTGCTCCTCTTACTCACTAGAGGCTCTGGAGGGCTTTGACAATCAAGCCCTTATTGTGGCACAGACCAGTGCAATGGCAGAGCTGCGTATTGATGGTACAAACCTGCCCCGTGATGTCCAGTGGAGAGTGGTTGCAGGGACAGACTTCTCTTGGGCGCAGATGTCCTACAAACAAACCCCTGGCACCAATTCACACACTGTGTCCAGCTCGGGTTCCAGCTTTGCTCTCTACAGTTTTGGAGTCAGCCAGATGAACGGCTATGGTGCTCCAGGACAATGTTTACAGCCAGGTAATGTGCACAAACCATAGCTCTGCCAATTAAAAAGTTTCAGCATATATTATTATGATATAGAGCATATTTCAGTAGAGAGATAAAATATTTTACATTACACACAAGTGAACTGTGATGTGGGCATTGATTGTTACGGTTTTTCAGGAAGTGGATCTTTGACCTGCAGCAGTATCACCTGCAGTGCCAATGAGGTGTGTGAGATGAAGGGTGGGTATCCCTCCTGTGTCCCCAAGCCAGTGGAAAGCAAGCCTGGTACCTGCTGGGCCATGGGAGATCCCCACTACCGTACATTCGATGGGCGACACTATGACTTCATGGGTACCTGCACATACGTCATTGCTAAAAACTGTGGAAAGGATGATAATCTCCCAGCCTTTGAGGTCCTCGCCCAAAATGAGAACAGAGGTAGCCCCAGGGTATCGTACGTCGCCCTGGTTACAGTGAAGGTGTATGGCGTCACCATCACAGTAGTGCGGTCTGAGACAGGACGTGTGAGGGTAAGGCTTCCTATATCTGTTAGTTAAAGAGTGTTAATTTTTCAAATATTCAGTTTTGAATATTATTCTGATTGTTTGATTTAATTATTTATTTGTGTGACACATTAAAATTCATACATTTATATAAACACATTATGACTGAACATGTTTTCTATTTTCTTTTGTGCAGATTGACAATAATCTGTGGAGTTTGCCAGTAGCCTTGAACAACAACAAACTGACTATGTTTCAGAGTGGCCGTTCTGTGGTCATTGAGACAGATTTTGGTCTGACTGTCCGTTATGACTGGGAACACTATCTAGTGGTCACTCTATCCAGCAGTTATGCCGGTAAGACTTGTGGTCTCTGTGGCAACTTCAATGGCAACCCCAGTGATGATTTCACCACACCCACCGGCACCCAGGCAAGTGGGGTTGTGGCCTTTGGGAGCAGCTGGAAGGTGCCAGGGCTGGTGAATGATGCTCTGTGCAGAGATGACTGTGTGGGTGGCTGTGAGAGATGTGAGAACAGCCTGATGAAGATGTGGCAGGGTGACTTGTTTTGTGGGCTTATCACACTTATAATAAATGGGCCATTCAGCAAATGTCATGCAGTCATTGACCCACAAGCATATCTGGAGAACTGTAAATATGACGTATGCATGGGAGGTGGCCTTCGACATTTCCTCTGCAGGGCGCTGGATGCTTACACTGAAGCCTGCCAGGCTGCTGGGATCCAGGTCCAAGATTGGAGGGAGATGGCACAATGCCGTAAGTAATGGTAGTAAAGGAATTTGACTCTGGTTTTCAAGTTGATCTCAATGTTACACACAGGTGACAAGAAAAAATAGTCATACATTTTTTAAAAACGGTTTACATGTAAATATACAGGAGATGCGTCTATATACTGTACATTGCAAGCATCATACGTAAAGGAAAGGGACAAAGCCAGGTCACGTGTGGCAGTTACATGGCATTTTACATGGCTTTAAGTCCCATTAAATGAATTTAAAGCCATGTTAAAATGCCATGTAACTGAGAAATCTAACTGCCACATGTGACCTGGCTTAGTCCCTTTCCTTTATGTGTGATGCTTGTTTGTTTGTTTTAACTATGCTGTATTTCTATTTAAATTGTAACTGGTGTGCCGTCTTGGCCGGGTCTGCCTCAGAAAAGAGATTTCAATCTCAAGGAACTTCCTGGTTAAATAAAGGTTAAATAAAAATAAATAAAACACACACCGTGCAAGTTTTATAGATGGATGATACGTACATGTTAAAGCACAGTGTGTATTTGATATTCAATACATAATTTATAAATCAATCTATTCAAATCAGTCACTCAAATGAACATACTTTTGTTTGTTGTTCCTAGTGATTCTAACACTCTATTGTCTTTCTTCTCCCTAAAGCTGCAAAATGTCCAGAAAACAGCCACTATGAGGTCTGTGGAAATGCCTGCCCTGCCACTTGTTCTGACCCTAATGCTCCCTCCAAATGCAAATACCCCTGTGTGCAGACCTGCACTTGTAACACAGGCTTTGTTTTGAGCGGAGGTCAGTGTGTACCTGCCTCTGAGTGTGGTTGCACCTACGAGGGTCGATACATCCCTGTTGGTGAGTCATTCTGGGCTGACCAGGGCTGTCGGCAATGGTGCAAATGTGTTGCTGGAAGCAGAAGCGTTGAGTGTAAGGACAAAGGCTGTGCGACAGGGCAGCAGTGCCAGGTTGTTGATGGCATAAGAAAGTGCGAGGCAGTCTCCCACAGCACCTGCCAGGCCACAGGAGACCCCCATTATGTGACCTTTGACAAGAGGAAGTTTGACTTCCAGGGCACGTGTGTGTATCAATTGGTTGCACTCTGCTCCAAGAACCCAGAGTTGGTGCCCTTTGAAGTGCTGGTGCAAAATGATCACCGGGGCAGCAAGGTGGTTTCTTACACCAAGTTAGTGGATATCAAGGTGTACTCCTACAGCATTGTCATTACAAAGACCCACAAGGGCCTGATTATGGTAAGAACCACATAATGTTTGGTATATGAACACCAGAATCTTTCCTGTGAGTCACTTTAATATTCCGTCTCTATATACAAATACAATTGTGTGTCCTTTTCCAGGTAAATAATGAGCTGGTGAACCTTCCTGTGACCCTGGATGGAGGAAAAGTATCTGTGTATAAGAATGGCTGGGACGGTGTGGTCAGCACAAACTTCGGCCTCAAAGTTTCCTTCAACTGGGAAAGCGCTGTGTTTGTAACACTGCCAAGCAACTACATGGGAGCAGTTTGTGGCCTTTGTGGCAACTATGACGGCAAACCAGAGGATGACCTGATTCCAAAGAATGGTGGCAAACCTGTCTCACCAGCAGATTTCGGTGCCAGTTGGCGGGTGGCCACGATCCCAGGTTGTGTCGAAGGCTGTAAAGGCGTGTGTCCTGATTGTGACATTACCCAGAAGGTTCAATATGAAAAAGGAGATTTCTGCGGCTTGTTAAATGACCCCAAAGGGCCGTTCCGTGACTGCCATGCTAAGGTGGAACCAACTGGCTACTTTGAAGACTGTGTTTATGATGTGTGCCTGTATCAGGGCAGAAAGGATGTGCTGTGTCAGGCTATTACAACGTACACGTCTGCCTGCCAGGCTGTGGGGGCCAAGGTGTACAGCTGGAGAAGCAGTCAGTTCTGTGGTGAGAAATGCATTTATTTTAATAAAGTCATTTACATAAAAGGCTAAGTGAGCATTATTTACTGTAGGACTGTAGTATAACAATAACACTCAATGGGTTACTTCCTTTTCTGTTGCTTTGTAATCATTTCCTACATTTGCAGTCTGTACTCTAAATTAAAATGTCTCCAGTAAATCACAGTCACAATTTCTGTTTTTTCTTGTCCCTTGTATACAGCGGTGACATGTCCAGTCCACAGCCACTATGAAGTTTGTGCAACTCCCTGTCCTTCCTCGTGCCAGAGTCTGGGCCCTCCTCAAGGTTGCCAAGCTCAGTGCGGGGAGGGCTGTTCCTGTGATGAGGGATACATCCTCAGTGGACAGCTCTGTGTTCCCTTTTCACAGTGCGGCTGCGTCTACAAAGACCGCTACTACCGCATGGACCAAGTGTTTTATCCCAATGAGTGTCAGGAGGAGTGCAAGTGCACACAAAATGGAGTGGTAATGGATGCAAAAGTGGACAGTTAATAAAAACAATTATAATTGTATACTGATCAGCGTGGCCTTGCAGTATGGAAGTATGCAGTATAGAAATTAATTTGTTGTTGTTTCTCGCCTGTTTTTCTCAGGTGGAGTGCAAGAAGATCACATGTGGCCCTAATGAGAAGTGTGAAATAGAGAATGGTGTCCAAAAATGTCAGCCTGTTGGTAAGGGTGTGTGCCAGGCCTCTGGTGACCCCCATTACCGCTCATTTGATGGGCAAATGTTTGATTTCCAGGGCACCTGCACCTACACACTGTCCAAGAGCTGTGGGCTGGAAGGCTCACGCCTTGTGGCCTTCTCTGTTCAGGTGGAGAACGTTCAGTGGAACTACATGATTAACAGCAAAGTGGTGTCTGTCACCAAGCTGGTTGCTGTGGAGGTCTACGGCTTCACTCTCATCATGAGGAACAATATGTATGGAGTCCTGGTGAGCACCTTGTCATCATTTGTACCAAGCTCCTCAATTGGAATAGAGTGAAATCTGCTGCTTCATTTAGTATCATTTAGTGGCAGATGTTAGAAAATGCTGAGAGATGTAAAACTAGCTTGAAAATATATATTTTTAACATTCTTATCATCAGTAGATTTTCTTTAAATAACACTTGTGTCTTTCTTTTAGGTAAATGGAGTGTTTAACTACCTTCCCCTGAATCTTAATGATGGAGCAGTGCATGTCTATCAAGAAGGCATATATTATGTTATTGCCACAAATTTCGGACTGCTCATTACTTATGACCTGGTCTATCATGTGACAGTCACAGTACCTGGTAATTACCGTGATAAAGTCTGTGGTCTGTGTGGCAACTTCAACGGCAACCAAAAAGATGACTTCCAAATGCCCAATAGACAGCTCACCGACAACGTGAATGTTTTTGGAAAATCCTGGAAGGTCACCATCCCTAATGTGGTTTGTGCAGATGGCTGTGAAGGGGATAACTGTCCTAACTGTGACCCAGCTCGCAAGGCTGTGTTTTCAGAGTCTACCTACTGTGGTCTTGTTAAAGCACCCAAAGGTCCTTTTGCAGCCTGCCATGGTAAACTGGACCCACAGCCATACTTCAACGACTGTGTGTTTGATGTGTGTGCTTCCAACGGTGATGGAAAGGTGCTGTGTAACAGCATAGCAGCCTATGCCTTCAACTGCCACATGGCAGGAGTTGACATCACAAACTGGAGGACAGCTTCATTCTGTCGTAAGTTGTTGTTTTTTCTCCACATCAACCTCTTATTCTTGTCTGCCATACTGTATTTATATTACATTTATTGAATATAGGAAGAGGCTCTTGTCTAATACATGTTTTCCCTGTCTTGATGATGCATGCATGCATGATTTATTTCAGCCATGAAATGCCCAGCCAACAGTCACTATGAGGTGTGTGCAGACTCCTGTTCTGCATCCTGCCCAGGCCTCACAGAGATTGTCCAGTGCTCCGCTAGCTGTACAGAAGGCTGCGAATGTAATATTGGCTTCTTATTTAATGGACAGACATGTGTTCAAGATACTGAGTGTGGCTGCTATGACAATGGAAGGACTTACAAGGTACAATTCAACAACTCTGTACAAATGATGGCTTTTTAGTGTCAAGCAAATACCCATAGCAGTATTCATGCTGACATGGCAATAAAGTTGCCTTGGCTTTTTCTGACATGGTGGACAGTCTGATCTTAGATATGTGCACTGGGGATTTCTCCTGAGACTTATTTAGCAGATTATCTAAATGTTTATTTTTTTTGGTAAGATGGAATAAGAATTAAACAATGTGGATGACTCTTTAACCTGTCATTTCTTATGTGTATTATTTTCTCCTGTACAATGAACCTGTTCTATGTCCCCAGCCTGGTGAAGTGGTATATGAGGAAGACTGTAACACAAAGTGCACCTGTAATCCAGCGACAGGCCTTGTCTGTGAAAAGTATTCCTGCCCTCAAAGCACCAAATGCCAAGTCAAGAAAGGAATCATGGCATGCTACAACACAGGTAAGACACAAATACTGTGTATTTGTAGTAACAAATTATTCTTAACTTATTTAATGAGTAAATTCTCTTTAAGATAAATGTACAGGAAATTTTTAATTAGTTGAGTTAAATTTTCCTATCAATTTCCCTTTGTTTATCTTGTGTAGATCCATGCAAAGATGCCAAGTGTCGGGTCAAGGAGCGGTGCAACGTTGAAAATGGTGAAGCGGTCTGCGTCCCCGAGTACACGGGAATATGCTGGGCCTGGGGTGACCCCCACTACCACACATTTGATGGTTACAACTATGACTTCCAGGGCACTTGCAAGTATGTCATCTCCAAAACCTGTGGGAATGTGGAAGGCCTGGTGCCATTCTCAGTCACTGAGAGGAATGATAACCGGGGAAACACAGCAGTTTCTTATGTCAGGGAGGTAGAAGTGTCTGTATATGGATACACCATCATCATGGGCAAGAACCAAGTTGGTAAAGTCACGGTAAGATTTTAGATTCTTGTCTGATGTGTGTGACCTGTAGTATTTTAATGTGTATATTATATATATATGTGTTTGACCTCTAGTATTTTAATGTGTGTGTGTATATATATATACATGTATTGTTCTGATCCATTCCCTTCAGGTGAACGGGGAGCTGTTGAATCTTCCTGTGCAACTGGGTGATGGTGAGGTGTCAGTGTTTCAGTTTGGTAACACTGCAATGGTGAAGACGAACTTTGGCCTGGTTGTCTCCTACGACTGGAACTGGGAACTGGTCATAAAGCTGCCCAGTAGCTACTACGGCAGTGTCTGTGGTCTGTGTGGCAACTTTAACGGGAATAACTTTGATGAGCTCCAGAATCCAGAAGGCAAAGCTGTCTCGTCAGTAATTGAGTGGGGTAAGAGCTGGCAAACGCCTGACCAGGACAAGGACCAACCTTGCTGGGACACGTGTCAGAAAAACTGTCCTACCTGTGATGGTAACCAGATGAAGCTCTATGAGACTGAGGCTTCCTGCGGGGCCCTCGCAGCCAAGACCAATAGTGTGTTCCAGAAATGTCATGGAAAATTGGACCCCCAGGCCTTCATGAACAGCTGTGTGTATGATGTGTGTTTGAATAAGGGGGACAAAAAGATGCTGTGCCAGGCATTGGCCTCCTACAGTAGGCAGTGTCGTGAAGAAGGAATAATAATCAGTGACTGGAGGAAAACGTTTGGCTGCCGTGAGTATTTATAAGAAGATGATTTGCTCCTTTTAGTCAAAGATTTCAAACAAATATTTATTTTTTTATTTTTTGGTTAATGCCTTTAAATTTCTATCCAGCAATGAACTGTCAGCGTTACAGCCACTATGAAGACTGTGCCAGCCCGTGCCAGCCATCCTGCTCATTCCCTGAGCAAAAGCAGATCTGCAACGGTACCTGTGTGGAGGCCTGTGTGTGTGATCAGGGTTACGTCCTCAGCGCTGGTGTCTGTGTGCCAGCTAAAACATGTGGTTGCTCCTATCAGGGCCGCTACTACAAGCCAGGCCAGCGCTTTTGGGCTGATGAGGCTTGCGGTCGCCTGTGTGAGTGTGATGCGATCCTGGGCATGGTGATATGCCGTGAGGCTTCCTGTTCTGCCAACCAGAAGTGCGCCGTAGTGGGTGGAGAGCGGGGCTGCCAACCCATCGGTCATGCCACATGCACAGCCTCAGGTGACCCTCACTACCGGACATTTGATGGCCACAAATATGACTTCCAGGGCACATGTGTATATCAGCTGGTGGGACTGTGCTCTCAGCAGCCTGGACTAGTGCCTTTCAACGTGACTGTGCAGAATGACAACCGGGGAAGCAAGGCCGTGTCCTACACAAGGACTGTCACATTTTCCATATATGGCATCACCCTCACCATCAGCAGAGAATACCCCTACATGGTGCTGGTAAGAATGGATGTGGAGTTATGGATATAGAAAATATAAGTAATCTGACACTTGTTTTCATGTGGATTTTTGGAGAGAAAGGAAATGGGTTTGTAGTAACAGTATTAAAAATAAAAACAGCACATTGAGCCTCATTCAAATGAGTGGATGATAATGCCTTCTGTCATTGTGCTAATTCTGACACTCCTCATGCTCTTCTGCATATATATTTAATTGCAAATTAAAAAATTTAATCCAAGCAGACTTAATTAAACTAAGATTTAACTGCACATTAGAAAGGATTATCGAGGATGTTAAATCTATAATCTCCTAAAAATATCCCTCTCCCACTCCCTTTCTGCTCCTCAGCTCAATGGGCAGCTTGCTTCATTACCACTGGGTTATAGTAATGAGCTGGTCGTGTTTCTCAGCGGCTGGACAGCTGTAGTGGAGACAGTTGCCGGTATCACTGTGACCTTTGACTGGCAGAGCACAGTGAGCATTACTCTACCCAGCAACTACCAGAGCGCAGTCTGTGGCCTGTGTGGCAACTACAATGGAAAAGCTCAGGATGACCTGACCATGCCGAATGGCCAGATCGCTAGTAATGGAGTCAAGCTGGGCGAGAGCTGGCAGGTGGCCCTAGTATCAGGCTGTTCATCAGTCTGCCAGGGGGCATGGTGCCAAGCATGTACAGACTCCCAGAGGAAAGAGTACCAAGCCCAAAAGTACTGTGGTATTATCGCAGACAAGGCAGGGCCTTTCAGGGATTGTCACGCTCATGTAGACCCTGCTCCTTACCTGGAGGACTGTGTGTATGATGCCTGTACTTATCATGGTCACCATGGGTCAATCTGTGATGCTGTGGGAGTCTATGTCTCTGCCTGTCAAAGCAAAGGAATCGCCATCGGCTCCTGGAGAACAGATACCTTCTGTCGTGAGTTTGGGATTGTGTTTAAAAATCTTTTTTAATAATTTCTGTTTTTCATACATACACTTATTCCAAAACATCTCATTTCATATTTGACCTTGTCCCTCCCCCCCCTCTTCTCATCCTATAAAACAGCAATGCTGTGTCCAGCTAACAGCCACTATACCCTGTGTGCCACGGGTTGCCCAGCCACCTGTGCCAGCTTAACTTCCCTTGCCACCTGCCGCAGGTCCTGTACAGAAGGCTGCGAGTGTGATGAAGGCTACCTGCTGAGTGGTGCTACCTGCGTGCCTGTGAGAGACTGTGGCTGCTCCTACGATGGTCGCTACTACAAGAAAGGAGATGTCTTCTACCCTGAAACCGAGTGTGTCGAGCAATGCATCTGTGGGGAGAATGGTGCAGTGTCTTGCCAAAAGGCAAAGTGCCGTCCAGGGGAGACCTGTAAGATTGTAAATGGAGTGAAAAGCTGCCACCCTGAGGGGCAAGGCAAGTGTGTGGCTTCTGGTGACCCTCATTACATTTCCTTCGATGGGCAAAGGTTTGATTTCCAGGGTACATGTGTCTACGTATTGGCCAAGGTTTGTGATGATGACAAAGGCTATCTGACACCATTCACTGTAACTCAGGGGAATGAGAAGTATGGAAATGGAAAGGTGGCCGTTACAAAGTCGATTGCAGTGGTGGTCTATGGTTATGTCATTTACATCCAGCAGGGAATGCCATGGAAAGTCATTGTGAGTTCAACAACTTTATCCAAAACAAGTGTATGGTTACATTTGTGCATGTTTATTTATTTCCTCACAAACATGTCTCACTGATTCTGTTCGCTTTCCTCCTCTGTCCAGGTGGATGATGAACTTCTAAACCTTCCGCTCTCCCTGGACAATGGGCGTCTCAGAGTCGCCCAGGAAGGTTGCAACATAATTGTCCGGACAGACTTTGGACTGACAGTCCTGTATGACACTGTCTATTATGTTGAAGTGATCGTGCCGTCTACATACCAGGGTAAGATGTGTGGTCTTTGTGGTGACTACAACACGAAGGGTGGTGATGACTTCAGACTTCCTGATGGCAAACAAGTGAATAACGTTGATGACTTTGGGAAGGCGTGGGTAGTGGACCTGCCTGGGAATGTGTGTGGGGGCTGTGGAGGCCAGTGTCCAGTATGTGAGCAGGCCAAGGCCACCTTGTACGGAAAACCAGACTCGTGTGGCATTATGAGTGAACCTAATGGGCCTTTCAAAGCCTGCCACAGTAAAATTGACCCAGCAGCATATGTGTCTCACTGCGTGTTTGATGTCTGTGCTATGGGTGGCAACAAAGATACTCTGTGTAACAGTGTCCAAGCCTACGCTTTGGCCTGCCAGAGTGCAGGAGTGCAAATCCAGCCATGGAGGAGCAGCTCCTTCTGCCGTAAGTTACACAGCAATATTATAGCTGATGCATAGTCCATGTTTTTCATGTTTTAAATTTCAGGTGCACATACAAAGTCTTACAAATGTTTTCTTCTCTTGTAGCTGCTTCCTGCCCTGCGCACAGTCACTATGAGCTGTGTGCCGACACCTGCGGTGGGACCTGTGCCAGCTTTATTTACCCATTTTCTTGTTCTAAAAGCTGTTTTGAAGGTTGCCAATGTGATGACGGCTTTGTTTTTGATGGCGTCCAATGTGTTCCTTTGGACGACTGTGGGTGTGTGCACGATGGCAGATATCTGACGGTAAACTGTACTGAGATTTTACTTTGTTGTCACACATAGTAACTGTAATACAATTGAAAAGGTAGTTGTATAAAAGTCATGTAGTTAGCGTACAAAGAATGATGTTATAATACTTTCTCTGCTATCACAGCAACAAACATTCTATTCACTGACCTGAAACATAAATGATTTAATGTTATACACGATGTATGCTTTCAGGTGGGCCAAGCAGTGGTGGACAAAGAATGTAAGTCCAAGTGTGTGTGCCAGGCTTCTGGGCTGGTGAAGTGTGAAAAGCTGTCCTGCACCAGTGGAGAGGTTTGCGGCATAAGAGACGGGGTCAGAGACTGCCAAGTAAAACAGGGCTACTGCAGCGTCAGTGAAGTTGGCTACCTCACCTCCTTTGATGGCATGTCTGGAGCGATGGGAGCTCAAGGGGCATTTGAAGTGGCATCTCTGTGTGATGAGACCTCTAAGCTGTGGTTCCGTGTGGTTGTGGACGTCAGGATCTGCAGCAAAGGTGCATCTCCCACCGTCGCCACCTTGTATGTGTTCTTCCAGGAAACCACCATCACAGTGAACAGCCAACGCGAGACCTGGGTGAGCAGAGAATAATAGTTAAATGTTTAACGATGCAAGTAGTTGTTTTGATCTCAATTGATTTTGTTTTACTATTCTTTCCCCTTATTCATGTCTTCCAGGCAAATGGCAGGAAGGTGTCATTTCCCAGCAAAGTGACAAGTGATCTGTCTGTCCAAATCTCAGAGAGAACTGTGATCATCGAGAGGGCAACAGCTGTGCGGGTCACCTACTCAATTTCACAGAAGGTCACCGTCATTATTGACAGTAGCTTGTCTGGTAAAATGTGCGGTGCCTGTGGCAACTACAATAACGACTCTAAAGATGATATGAGGACAGCAGATGGGAAAATCACCACTGACGTGGCTGTTGTTGTTGGCTCCTGGAGCGCTGGGGACTTTTCTAGGTGGTGAGTATTGAAAAGGCACACTATAACATTTCCTCTGTGTAAATGTAATGGAAAAAGATACTTTGCTACATTTAATGCTTCGATAATGATAGCCCTCTACTTTAATAAAAGTTCTCATCACATTGTTCCCCAACTCCTAATGTTAACTTTTATTGTTTTAATAAAATAACAACTTTGCCTCCTCATCTACACTTTTAACCTTCAATTGCAGTTAGGGCAGAAGTTTCAGTCTTGAACTCTATCTTGCCCTTTATTATGCAAACTGCAAACTTAATTTGACCACTGAAATAATCAAGTACAGATCAGTGAGAGATGGGACAGTGTTATGACCATTCAACCGCTTATTCTCTTAACAGAAAGAACTAAACAAGGACTCCACAGAGCCCTTTTAAAGGAATGAGAGTGTGGTTTTTAATTGCATTTGGTCCAATTTAATTAAGAAATGCCAGAGAATCCCCTATGGTAATTACTGATTAAAAAGCAGGTGAGGCTGACAGGCATGGCCATCAAAAGCTACCAAGCTTGCAATCCAATCACTGCTTGTCATCCAAGGACACTTAAGACTCATCTGGGTGCAATATTAATTTGAGCCCTCATCTTTAGTTCTGTGTTCTAGCCTTAAGTCAATCCCTTAGAGGATTGAGTTTTGTGTATCCCCCTTCCTCTCTTCATTCAACTTAGTTGTGTTTTTGCAGGCATTTTCTCTCACCAGACCCTAAACATTACAAGAAAATACTCCAGATTTCCTGAGTGTTTGCATATGCCTTTAAAAATAACCTTGTGTTGCTTGTAATCTCTGTTGTGCCTGAGTGAACATGACTTTACTTTGCTCCAGTGCCCTTTGACTGCAATTTTTCTTTTTCATTTCAGTGGCCTGTAGAGATGTTGGTTCTGCGATGATAGAGAGAGTCTGCTATATAGGTAAAAACTTAAGTTGTTTGTTCTCAGAACCATGAACTGATGTTTTTTCATGAATGAAACAGCTGTACAGCGTGGCTTACATTCCTGCTTTTTACCCCCATTAAACAGGATGAAGACTAATGTGAAGTTGTTCAGCTAAAGTTGCTTGTTTACAGCCTTTCTTACTCATCATGCTTCAGTATATTTCCTCTTGATTCATGGGATAGTTTTTGTTGTTTACTGGAGGTCTGGTCCTCTATTGTTCACTTTAGAGCAGTAAAAAATTTAGCTCATTCTTGACCAACATCTCCATCTAGTGGAGAATGAAATTATAGCATCTCTTTTCCCCAAACAGCCAAAGGTAACCAATTTCATACCTGTCTTATTATACTGTACTTTCCTAGGTTTAAAAATGTTTGTTTTACGAAATGTTTTCCTTTCTGTTCTGACCAATAAATACTCTTTCATTACCCTGTGTGATTGTTATTTGTGAATCACTGTCTGCTTCTACAAATCACATCTGTACAGCACTCTCTGTATGCCAGTCTAAATAAAAAAATACATGACTCAAATGGGTAATGTGTGCAGCTTCTGCTGCATCTAGCACAGCTGGTGACATAAGAATTCCTGTGTAAATTTGACATTTTAATAAGAAAGCTATCTGCACTAAAGGTCCTTGGTGTAGGAGGAGAGAAGAATCAAAATCGGGTAGATTGTTACATACAAGAAATTTGCTACTGCTTTTGGTGCATAACAAACATAGTGTGAGAAAAAGATTTAAGTACTAATAAAGTATGAATAGAAAACCTTACAAAGTTTGTACAATATTTTTTATAGAAGGAAAAAGCTGTACAGATTCACAGTAGATTTCACAAGTATAATGAGGAATGTATACAATATACAGGGATAATGGTCCAAAAGAAGTGTTAATGTAACTCACTGCGACAGATGTGGAGCCTGTACATTAATGTAACGTAATGTATATGGGAGGGGATAAGAGTTACATGTCAGTGTGAGGTCAGCTGCAGATGCAAAGAAACTGTTCTTGTGGAGTGAGGTTTTGGTCCACAACTCAGATTTAATTACAAACTTGCAGCCCTCCCACATAGCAAAATTAATCAACACAAACATTAAAAGAAACATAAAAAAGAAACACAATTTTGCAAGACTAAATATTAAAATAAAATCAGACAATAAAATAAACACCAGGGATAAAAAAAATATTTAAAAACCAATGAATAAAACTTAAACTAAGGCTATAACATTAATCCAAATTAAAAGCCAGTTTTAAAAGATGGGTCTTTAATTTTCTTTTACAAATACAGAGAGGCCATTCTAATATCCAGAGGTAGGGAGTTCCATAGTTTAGGTGCATAAAAACAGAAGGCACCCTCAACAGTACTTTGATGAGACACATAAGGAAAATTTAAACCAGGAGGAGGACCTGATCTGGCTGTAACTTTCCATGAGAGAATGTGATGTAGGGAAGAGCAAGGTCATTTAAAGCTTCATAAACAAAGTAACAAAGTAATTTTACTTTAAAAAAGCAATTCTAAAAGATACAGTTAGCCAGTGCAGTGGGGTATTGTGATCCATTTTCTTTGTTTATGTTAAGACTGGCCATGGCATTCTGAACTAGATATAGTTTTCTTATAGAGGTTTGAGCTAATCCAAAGAGGAACTGCAATCATCTATCAGTATCTATCTGACTTTTTTTTAAAAAGGTCTGACTTTGGCAATATTCCTAAAATGAACAAAATGAAATTAAAAGGAGATTTAACATTTAAATCTGAGTCTAACATTACTCCCAAGTTTGTGATGTTAATTTAAATTTGATAGCGGTTTAGAAGTGCACTATCATTAACCTTGGCAGGTTGAATGTTTTCAACTGCCGCAGGAAGTACATCCTCTGCTGGGCTTTCTTGGGGATGCAGCTGATGTTCAGCTCTCACTTGAGGTCCTGGGTTATGATGGTGCCCAGGAAGCAGAAGGACTCCACAGTTTCAACTGGGGAGTCACACAGGGGCTGATGGGGACTGGGAGGGCTGGGTTCTTCTTGAAATCCACAACCATCTCAACTGTTGCGCTCCAGGTTGTTCCGACTGCACCAGGCCCAGCAGACGGTCAACCTCCCACCTGTAGACTTGTTTGACTTTCATCCACCAACATCCGGAGCTTGATGGACTGCTGACTGAAGGTGCAGCTGTTGGTTTACAGGGAGAGCAGCAGAAGGGAAAGAACATAACCTTGAGGGGAATCCGTGCTGATGGTCCGAGTGTCAGAGACAGGTTTTCCCAGTATCCTGCCAGACAGGAAGTCTGTGATCCACCTGCAGGTGGAATCAGGCACATTCAGCTGGGAGAGATTGTCCTGCAGCACATCTGGGATGATGGTGATTAAGGCAGAGATCAGACCCACAAACAGATCCTGGCAAAGGTTCCTGAGGAGTCCAGGTGCTGGAGGATGACGTGGAGGGCCATGTTTATTGCATCGCCTACAGAGCCAACAGCAGCAATAAATATGGCCCTGCAGGGGGCCAGGAGTGGGGAAGACTTAATTCCTACAGACGGCAGGGCAATGGGTCTTTAAATCCTGTGGTCCTAGGTTTTTTTTTAATACAGGGATTATGGTGGAGGTCTTGGAGCAGGCTGATACGTGGCATGTCTCCAGTGATGTCCGCAAGTGCTTCAGGGTCAAGGGAGAGACAGTCTGGTCTAGCTTCTTTGCAGGGGTTCTGCCTTCTGAACTATCTGTTGACATCCCAGGTCCCTAATGAGGAGGGGGAGGATGCAACTTGTGGGCTGGAGCTAATGGCTGGAGTCACAGCGGATGATGTCAGAACCATCCCACTGTCTGACAGTAGAACTTATTCAGTTTGTTGGCCAGGCACAAGTTCTTATTGGAGTGAGGAGCTTAGGTAGGTGGTGTGCGTCCTCAAGACAAAAACAAAGTTGTTTGCTGAGAAGGGCTTTTGTAGTCTTTGAGTACAGTCTTTTAGCTTCTCTCGTCGCCTGTCCTGATTCCTGAACACTTATTCTGTTTCCAAGTAGTATAATAACAAACGTTGATACAGCTAACTAACCACTACAGTATATACGTAAACACCCTGGATAGCACAATCTGCATTTTATTGAGGCAGGACCTGCTGCCATCTAAGCTTAGTCCACCCAGCTCTGTATTTGCTACTAGTGGAGGGGGCAATCTGGCAGTTTAGTGAGGAAGAGACCTTGGGAAGACAGATTTCATATACCCGAGAGAAAACTATATCTCATCAATGACTGCACAGGTCATGAAAGTGCACTAGTATTTCTGCCTTAACTTCACTGCACAGAGCCACTCTCCAAAGCCTGTAAATTACAAGAAAGTACAACAAGCTCACTGGTTGATGCTGTGTATGTCTCTTATATTTGGCTGTGGGGGGCATTAGCACGATTTACAGTTCATTATGAAGTCATGTTGTATCATCAATTCTGGAACCAAACTGCATGGGCATAGTCTCCCTGTTCAGTAGCTCTGTAGCCCACTGTAGCTCTGCTCCTCTGCTAGTGTTGTTTACCTCCGAGAAGCACAGGGTCATTTTTAGTGAGTAACTTCAGTGGCTTAGCGCTCCCACCAGCACCCCCTCCCTATCTGTCATTCCTGAGACAAGACCAAGGCGGAACAGAGCTTTACTTGGTGGAGCTGAGTTGCCTACTGAGGAACCTCCACAGACTAATTTATTTTTTAAATCATCTTTTTTTCCCCCCTAGCTACATGAGAAGGTTTTGCATTTCATATTTGCTTTCTTGGTTTAAGTAACAAGAGGAAAACTTTTCCGGCTCACCAGGCAGGGAGAAAGTCTAACTCAACATTAGAGTTTGTAGGAGGCTGATACACGGTAAGTTTAATTCAAATGTCAAACTGCATGGTCCTCGGACGCACAAATGTAAGCTTAAATACTCCAAACCTCCAGGTTAAGACTCCCAAAGCACATTTCTGGCTCCACATGTTTTTGTCTTGCAGAGGTTTTCCAAATTCTTTCTCTTGTCTTGTAGGCTATCACAAGCACGCCGCCAACTCCCAACTAAATGCCTGTGTGAGCATGTGATCATTTAATTACATGAAGCCACTGCTTACGTTGCGATGTTGCTTAATACACAAACCTAATGTGTTTTTACTAACTTATTTTGCTGGTGTATTGTAATCGATTATGTTTTCCAAATTTTCATGTTGTTGGCGCGATTTGGTATCCTGTCTGGTAAATACAGCGCCATCTGAGAGGCTTCATGGAGTTTGGTGCCACACTTATACAGCGTACAATGCCAGAAACACCGTACACAATAATTTATGAAATTTTCTCCAATCTGTGTCGCGTTAATTGGCGGGAACAACAACGTGAACTCGTTGGAAATCTGTCGAGAGGTGTCTGGCGAGTTTTAATTATTAAAAGGTAACCTATGTGTCGCAAATCTCTTGAAACCAAACGTTTCTTAATTAATACACCTCGTTTAATATGTTCTGGGAAAAAATTTCAATAAGCTTTGCCTATAGCACTAAAGCACTAAAGTAGCCTACTGATTAATATGTGAGTTTCTGGCCCACATGTGCTTGCTTATGAGTTAATGTAACCCCTTTTAATAATTACAAATTGTTATGATAATGTTGTCCATGTTAATAATCCCACTTTATTATTATCCATGTTAATTAATTTTCACATGTTGCTTTATGGGCGTCTTTCCCGTCTCCCCATTATATTCCTCTACATCACTCTGAAGGCTAACAAACATGATTATTGAATTGATTCCTGTTAGAATAACTCACCCTGTATTTCTTTGATTAAACCTGATTGGCAGGCCTTTGTTGTTAATCCTGCTCCCAGGGTTGAAGTGTTCATTTCTCTCTACTCAAGCACCATGTTCACACCCCCCATTTTAGTCATGCATGAATCCCCAGCAGTGCTCTGGGCCAGGGAGGGGAACCTTGGCACTGCTAACATAGGCTTTGATCTTTGCAAAGCAAAACACTTTATTCCATGGCTTAGGTTTACTGCAAGTGTAAAGCTAAACCTGTGTGTACCTGCATTAAATGTTTGTATTCACGTCTTGGGATTTGACTGTAATGTGGCTGTGAAGCTAACAACACTGCAACCACTATGCTCTTTGGTCATGCAGTGGCCTTCAACTGTGGACCTTCTGAAGGTCTTGCTTTCCATCAGGAGTGGCAGTGTGGTTGTGGAACCTTAGCCTGTAAACATTTGGGTGTAAGAGAATCTCAAAGAATGCTCTAGATAATATATAGACAGGAGAACTGCCCCAGGAGGTTCATGTTCCATATGTAAACTGGATGACCCAGCAAAACCAATCCAAACCCAATGACCAAATATCGCATGCAACTCAACACCAGCCTTGCCCTGCACCCTTCCAAAGCCAAGGCCCCATGCTGAGCCTGAAATAGACCCTCTTCTTTTACCCAGAGTTAGGAGGCCATATTATTAA